TCACGCTAACTCAAAAGAGAAATCCCTACTAATGACTCCAACATGACTGGTATAAATCTTAAGTCGCTCAAACTAAACTCTTAAGGTTTATAAATAGGATGCAAAGGCTAGAGAAGCTTATTAATCCAAAACAAAGTGTTATAACCCAAACCTAATTATGCACAAACCTCAAAAGGGGAAGTATTCCTTAGTCACTCACAACTCAATGTTGAACAACAATTATTTGACTAATTATGAAATTAGAACATTAAACACATGAGATTCAAGAGAAATTAGCTAAAGAATTTCTGAAAATAAACAACATCAAACTTTAACTATAGAACTAGTTGCTAAGCAATCACACTAGTAAGAATGCATCATCAAAGGAGTTTTTAACGCATTTTCTAAATCTGAAACGTTGAAATAAAATATCAAATTCTTGAGGAAATCCGGATTTAATAGCATGCAAGACAAAATTCATACCTCAACTTGAATATAATAGTAAAAATCATCAAATCTCAAGAAACATAACAAGGAAGATAGAGGATTCATCAAACAATAGCAAAACAAGAGATTTTTGACAACCTTTGAAATCATTCATTATACAAAATTAGAAAATAACGCCAAAAAAGAATGAAAAATAAAGAATTTTAAAAAGATTGAAAAATCAAAACAAACCCTACTTCTTCCTCTTGAATTCCACATGCAATTCTCCCAATCTAAAAGCTTAATCCTCTTATAATCTCAAGAAAATCCATCTCCAATCTTGAAATTGACTTTAAAAGTGAACTACTCATCAAAAATGGAGCAAACCCCCTCTACTTAGAAGCTTGGAGTGCATCTTCCATGGAGGGGAGAGAGAGAACCGAGAGATAGAGGGAGTGAGAGAGAACGAGATAGAGAGAGAGGGAGAGAGAGGAGACAACGTGACAACGAGAGAGGGAAGGAAGAAAAGAAAAAAAAAGAAAAATGGGTTGGTTTTTTTTTTTTTTTTTTTTTTTTTTTTTTTTTTTTTTTAAAAAGAAAATTAGAAAGAAAGAAGTATTTACACGAAATAAATAGTTTTGGGGCTGACAATTCGTGTTCGCGGGTCGTGTTTAGGCCGACATGATTACGGTACGATACGATTATAGTGAGCACGAACACGACATGATTAATAAACGTGTCAGAAACCCAAACACGAACACGATACGCTAATAACACGGTTAACACGACACGACACACGAACACGATTATTAAACGTGCCGTGACGGGCCGACACAAGAAAAACACGTTTATGACCCGTTTATGACCCAACTATCAAAAATAGTGAATTTTATATTGCATTCAAAACTATATTAATTGACTACTTAATATCACTTATAGTTAAATTCATGCATAATAGCCAACACACATTAAAATATCTAAAACATCACTTATGACATATGTTTCAAAACATACCAATTACTAAACATCTAAAGAAGTTTGAAAACATAACCAAGTACATTTAAATAAGTTTAAAAACATAACCAAATATTTGAAAATTTAAGTGCATAAAATATAATCAACCATCTACAAATCCATTGGCATATTTAAGTGCATAAAGCATAAAACATATTTAAAGTTTAGGTTTATCCATTACAAATCATCCATTGGCATTTTGTAATCAACCATCTACAAGTCCATCTACAAATCATCCATCTACAAATCCATTGGCATTTTGTAATTTTATCAACATGCCATAACTTATTTAAAAGTTAGAGTGTTAAATTAAGTTAACCCTTTTATCAAACACCCTTCATGCAAACAAGAGAATATAAATAAAACGGGCTGTGAGAGAATGAGAGAATGAGAGAAAGAGAATTAGAGAAGCTAGAGTTTTATCTTAAAAAAATATAAATATATATATGGATTAATAAACGGGTCGGTTTGGGTCGTGTCGGCCCGATTACGGCCCGTATAACTAAACGGGTTAAGCGTGTTAAACGGGCTGACACGAATCTAACCCGTTTATTTTCGTGTTATTCGTGCCAGCCTGTTAACGACCCAATTAATAATCGTGCGGTTTAAATCCATTTATCTCGTGTCGTTTTCGTGTCGTTTCATCGTGTCGTGTCTGAAATTGCCGGCCCTAGTTTTGAGACTCCCATTTTAGGAGATTTAACAATATTAAAATTGTTCCGCTTATACCCTTTCGTCGGCAATAACGGGTTGCATACACAACGGAACTTTTACATTTTTCTCTGTAAAAAAAAAAAAAAAAATCTGTCCCCCTTAGAAAGTCTCAAAGGTTTTAATTGGTTTTATTTATCATAGAAAATTAGGATTTATCGTTTGAAATGTGCTGTACATTCCAAAATGGTTATTATATCGTTATTCACACATATTTTTGAATAAAAAACGTAAATGGTGATCTATTTTTAAGAAAGGGTTAAAAACGGGTAGAATGGTCATTATAGGTCATTGGATGGATTTATGAGCAAATATCATTGCTTATAGACATTCTTTTATCTTTTAATGTATAATGGAAATATATGTAATTAATTCAATTAAAAATTAGACAATTAAATTTTAAAGTCCAATTTAAAATTTAATATAAAATGACATAATAGTTTTTTGTTTAAAAAAATTAGTTGCTGACACGTAACACAGATCGAGAGACTGAAACGTCAAGTTAAAAATAATTATTTTAAATGTGAAAAATTCTTAATGAAATAATCATAACTGAAAATGAATAACGTATTTTTAATTAATTAATACTAACAACCAACTTAAATTAATTAATCTTAATTAAATTTAATCAGGTGTTACAGTTGACAACCTTCAGACTAATTGTTTAAGTACCTTTTTTTGTCAAACAATTCTTTTTAGCAATATAAATCACGCATAAAAGATTTAATAATCCTCTAATAAATAAAACAGCACAGTTGTAATGTCAGAAGTGTTTTAGAGCAATTATTTTTAAAATGTTTTTACGTAATTGTGCCAACATCAACTGCGATGAAAATTGTTAACTGCTCAAGACATCAACACAAGTTAAGAAATACAAATGATAGAGCAACAATTGACTGTTTGATAGCAAGATAATTAGGACGTGACTTTCTTTTCTTGCAGTTTGAGTACACTACTCATTTCACAAAAAATAACAAATAAGTAAAAAAAAAAAAGAACAAATAAAGTTGGTATTTTTGAAAATTATTTATGTTATCATGTAAAACTAATGATAAGCCAATATGTGGTATGAAGCTCTTCCCAATATATAATGAACAATTTTTGTTTTTTAATGCCTTTTTGGTTTTCTCCGAGAGGCAAATGAAAGGTGATTGTAATGCCTGAAAATGGCTTCCAAAACTCAAAGTCTTTCCACTTGACCTGCCTCATTACGAACGAAAATTTTTATTAATTTGTTGGAGAAACCAACCACACACACACACACACACACACACACACACATAGAGGAATCAACTAGCTTATTTTCTTTAAAGTGAAAATAATTACTTAGTAAAAATGAGTAATACATGAAATTTACGTCTTATTACATTCATAAAATCAGTTTTGTTTGAAAATTATATCAAAATAAATAAATGCCGACCACTTTCTCTCTATGTAAGTTTAATCAAAATGTTTCATATATAAACAATGTCATATTTGTGACATGGTGTGCAACAACACATAAAACCAAAGTAGTGCATTTATATGTATTTACCTAGTATAATTCATAAACAAACCATCAAATAATGAGAAATTTTAAAACATAGGTTATGAAACAAAATCCAAATTATAGAATTATGATACCTTTCCCCAGACTTATTTAAAACAATAAATAATAACCCAGATTATTCGTCAATACAATACATTATGATATGTTTTACAAAGAATATACAAATCAACAAGCAAAAAATTATAGCAAAACTACATATGAAGAGAAAGAAGAAAAGGTAGAAAGGGCTTATACCATATTTGGACTTGGTTTTTATTGATTGCTCTGCACAACGAAGAGCACAAATAGCCATTCTCAACCGTATAATTATCAGCAGCGTTACGCATGGTGCGGTGACATTTTATGGGCAAACATGAACTCAAACAACCAAGGTAAACCGGCAAAGGTTGCGCCCTACTGCACAAGACTTCACACTCAAACAAACAAGCACATAAGTTTAAGGCTGTCATCTTAGCAGGCGTTTGATAGATGGATCTAAAATTATAATTTTAGATCATGATTTAAAATTAATGTTTATTTACAATGATTTTGAATCGTGATTCTGAATTATGATTCAGAATCAGTGTTTGGTTTGAATGATTTGAATTATGATTCAGAATCTGATGTGATGTTTTAAATCAGAATTACTCATGATTCTAAAACCATCATCCTCTTAATTCAAGGTAATTCAAACCCCTGATTCTGAATTATGGTTTCAGAAAATTTAAACCTAAAATCATAAATCGTGGTTCTGATTTCAAAATCATAATTAGAATCACATTAATTTAAATTATCGTACCAAGCGAATTAGTATCATAAATTGGAGGTAGGAAAAGATCTTTAGCAATTACGACTGATATATTTGGCGCAAGCATAAACAAGATGATCATATATAAGCAATCTCACAACGCTACTACTCTCGATAATTTGTGAATCTATTTCTTTCAGTATTTTGAAAGTTAAAGTTGTTTTAGAGGTCCATAAATTAAACCATACCTATTCTCAAAGGGCAAATTATAGAATTAAATTTTATTTTTAATTATGACTTTAAGGAAACGTTTAGTTCATAAATTAGAATCATGTGATTAGAATTATTTTTAATTTATGTGTATTTTTTATGAAAAAAAATATTATAATAAATTATAAACCATGATTCAAATCATGATTTGAATCCTCCTACCAAACATTCATTAAATAAATAAAGCCAAAGAAACAAAGCCAAAAAAAAAATAATAATAAAATAATTTTTTATTGATAGAATTCAATTCACTTCATCGTACCAAACGTATAATTAGTTTTGTTAGTCGACTTTCTACTTTATTGAATTTACTTGATTGTTAATAGATTCCTTTCAATTCCACAAGCAAACCCAGAAAAAAAAAAAAAAAAAAAAACCTGTAATTGAGCGATTGAAAAAAAAAAAATCATAATCAAAATCAAAATCAAGTTCTTCATTTCGGTGGAATCGAAAGTTTTAATCTGTGTTTGGTAAATATGGACGATGAGGTGGTACAGCGAGTATTCCAAGAAGGAGGTCGCGATTACTTCCAACAGCAACCTTCCACTTCCTCCTCTTCCTCCTCCTCTATCCTCCAATCTCTCCCACTTCACGTGGTACGTTATTCTTTTTTCTCTTTCTTTTTTTTCCCCCCTTGTTTTTTGATGAATTCTCCAATGACTCTTTATGTTTCTTTTGGGTTTCCGAAGATTTTTTTTTAAAAAATTTTTTTGCTCAAATTGGACAGTTTTGTGTTTCGGGTGGGTTTTTAGGAGTAGTATTAAAATTTATTGCCTTCCCAGTCCCACCCACCCCCTTCTCTTTAGCTCGATGCTTGCAAATTTTTGAATCGGGAAATGCGTTGGCATTGGTAGCTGGTGTAAAATGAATTCTACCATGGAGATAAGAATGAGTTTGTTTGTTTATTATAGTTATGAAGTCTGGCATTTAAGGAATAATATTGCTTATTCGTACATACTTTTGGCTAATTATTCACATGCTCTACGTCGAGCGGATGAAGTATGTGGTTACAGAGCATTTAACCACTTTTTTTGTTGAAGGAAAAAAGATTATAGGGATAGAAGGTAGCGCACCCAGATAGTCGTGGGAAGGTAGTGTAATTTCCACGTAGCATACGGATTTCTCACGAAGTGGATTGCCCTTGTACACGTTCACCGTGGTGGGATTGACTCGAACTTAATACCTTGTTGAGAAGAACAAACAGCCTTACAATCCCACCAAATGACTGATGTTAGAGCACTTAACCACTTAACCCTGATGAATGACAAAATTTTGACATTTGGTCATTAACAGTAGTTTAATAACTTGATGTAGTTTGATCTGCTAAGTAGTCCTTGTAAACTAGAAGTAGATCTATTTTATGTGTCGTGTGCCTCTCAACTTTGTTTTGCAATTTGCATGACAAGTTCCTCTGTGGCTTTCTATAGTTATGCTATAGTACTTGTTGAAAATGGAAGTTTTTAAACTATCTTAATGTGCTTTGAAACGCTATTTGTTTACTTTTATCTTACTGTGTACCATCACCAATGCATTGAGAACTTATACCATGAAGTCCTAATTGTGGCTTGTCTTGAAATGATGCAGTCTTTTGATCACGGGTATTATTTATTAGTAAAATCCATCCAAGAACTAAGAGAGAAAAAAGAAGGTCTCGTAACAGTTGGCATTGGTGGCCCTAGTGGCTCCGGTAAAACAAGGTATGCATGAACTCTTTGCAGATGGAAAAATAGTTGCTGCTTGCACTCGGTTGAGATTTTTTTTTTTTTTTAAATATCTTTTTATGATGGTCCCTGAAGCTTAGCAGAAAAGGTGGCATCTGTTATTGGGTGTGTTGTTGTGTCGATGGAGAACTATCGCAATGGAGTTGATGAAGGGAATGATTTGGATTCAATAGATTTCGAGACACTAGTTCGAAATCTCGAGGTATGCTTCTGGTTATATGCTGGCAGTCTATTTTATATGCAGGAGTGAATTAATTGAATATGTCAGACCACTTTGGCGCTTCCTTTTATAGTCTATGTTGTTTTAGATAGTTTGAAAAGGCGTATGAAAGATTCTATTTGGCAAAATCTTGGAATGGCATATACTTCAAACTTCTACAATATTGACATCTTATTGGTACTCCCAAAACAAAGACCAAAAGTTGCATATACTTTTTAATTTATTTTCAAAATAAAACCCTAGTCTTATTTGTCTGGTAAAACCAACTTACTTAAGTTCCGAGTATGTTGATGTATCTATAGTCTTAGATCAAAGGCATTGAGCGCTATGCATTTATGCATGTTGTTTTTGTGTCTATGCAAAATGCATTAGTAACGAAACTCTGGTGAAATAGGATTTGACAAATGGTAAAGATACAGTGATCCCGGTTTTCGACTATCAACAAAAGAGGCGTGTTGGTTCAGAAGCAATAAAGAGTGCTTCTTCTGGAGTGGTAAGGAGCTGAGTTACATTTAGCATGATAATTGTGATGAACATTGAGTTCATTTCAAGAAAATATACTGGAGCATGCATACATGTCCACATCAAATGTATTTATACATTGTGCTGACTTCATATCCCTCCATTTATAGGTAATAGTTGATGGCACCTATGCTCTACATGCAAAATTGCGCTCTTTGCTGGATATTCGAGTTGCAGTGGTAATTTTATCTTTTGGCCCCATCCTCTAATGAATTGTTTTTCAATTAATTGTGAAAAAACTCATAATTCTTTGTATTGTTATCTGTTATATTAGGTTGGTGGTGTTCATTTTAGTCTCCTGTCCAAAGTTCGATATGATATTGGAGATGCTTGTTCGTTGGACTACCTTATTGACAGCATTTTTCCATTGTTTAGAAAACATATTGAGCCAGACCTTCATCATGCACAGGTTGGTGTTTTCTGCTCTTTGCTTGGGTGGGGCCAGGAAGCTATCTTCTTCTCTGATACATGTGCAAACACACACGCACACGCGCGCGCGCATAATATTACCCTTCTAGTTTCTCTAATCTATAATTCCCATTAAACAAGGTCTGTTTTTGTCACTGTTGCTGATTCTTAATTCTCTACATATTTGGTATATTCTGCAGATTAGAATTAACAACAGCTTTGTCTCATCTTTTCGGGAGGCAATTTACAAACTAAAATGCAGAAGTGAGGTGCGAACACCTCTCTTGGGTGTTATTTTCAGTTGTCAATCTACTTATATATATGCACAGAACATGGACACCTTCCTTATTTATGCTGCTCTGGGAGCTATATTTCCGAATGATTTTGTCAAAACTTTGACTATTCATCCAATGATTTTAAACCATATGCTTTCACTATGATGTTGAAACTCACGTAGTTAGGAAACAAGACTTGCACATTGTTGTTTTCAAGGATAAACAACTATTTAAGTTCAATTTGAGTCTGTTTTATAATAATATAACTAGTTTGCTTTATTAGGCATATAAAATAGAAATGATGTGTATAAAGGCAGGATAGGAGAATAAAGTTGATGTTAGAATATCTGGCATAATCTATGAAGAGTGAGAAAATCAGTGCGTGTATATTCTGTTTGTTGCATTCTTAGATGCATGTATTTGTTTCATTGCCTCTCTATCTTTTTGATCATATGCAATGCCCAATGGAGGAGGAAGCATCTGAGTATGTGTTAGGAATTGATTCAGAAACAAATCACACAACAATTCAAAGAAAAATTGATCGATCAAAATGTTCTGAATTGTGGCATCTATTAGCAAATAAGGAAATACAAGATGGATATGGGGGTTTTCAAGTGACCCCTTGCACTCCCTAGAGCAGAAGCTCGTCTAAGTGCAGACTTTTAGAAAATGATAGATAATCCACCTACAACCCCTTGCTCCCGTTCTATTCCATTCTTTCCTAACTAACCTCTTCACTCTCCTCTCTCCAAATCCCGAGGTCCAATCCGTGATTTGAGCTATCAATCCACGCCCTCTCCAACACCCAGCTCTCCAGCGCCTTCCTCAACTTTCTTGTCAGCAACACCCTTTCCCACTTCACCATCCATGTCACCCCTTCCCTCCCCATTAGCTCGCCCCCTTGGGCCTCCTCCTAGCATAAGTAAAACGCAAGGGAAGTCTTGGAGGCCCGTCAACATGCTTCTTTCTAATGTATATATGCTAAATTTATCCAGAGAGATATACTAGGATTACATGGATGTGTTGCGCGGTTCATCTCTTTTCTTGCATTGTTACCCTTGTGTGAACTCTCTAATAAATTTACGTCAAATTTCTTTTCTTGGGTTGTGTTTTGTACTACAATTTTGTTTTATGTCTTGAAATTTTCTAGTTTTGGTTCTCACATTCTTAACTAATCTGACTAAAGTTTAGAGTTTTTGCTACAGTCACCAGATGGGCAGTCTTCTTATTTATTTCAAGGATATGAAGCAGAAACAGATAAGTGAGTGTGCAAGCAGATTGTCCATCTCAGCTTTAAGTAGTTCTTTTAAGGATATAGAAGTAAAGAATCTTTAATTGTTTTTTGTATTTTCATGAATCATGAGCATTTGTTGCCTTTCTCTTTCAGTTTTATAGAGATGTATCTTAGACCCCCTTCAGCAAGTGAAGAAGCACGGATAAATGATTGGATCAAAGTTCGTCAATCTGGAATTAGGTATTATCTATCTCTTGGTGACCAGAGGATTGTTGACAAAAATTTCATCATCAGGCCAAAAGCTGAGTTTGAGGTAAGACCTATCATCTTAGTGACCAGAGTGACACATGGATGAATGAAATTTACTTCGATGGCTGTGTTTCCAAGAATGTTTCAAGTAAAGGAACTTGAACGTGAATTGAGTGAGTTTCTATTATTCACAGTTATACATATAAATAGTTGTACAAGGAACCATTTTAGGAAACTATCCTAGGAAATAAAGACTAATTGACAACTATACACAAAGCTATTCTAGGAAACTAGATCAAATCACAATCAGTCCTATTTTTGATACAATCTTTCTTAATTCGGGTCAATATCTGAATATCTTGCAATACAATCTTCCTTAATTCGGGTAAATATTTGAATATCTTGCAACACTCCCCTTCAAGCTGGCTTGTAGATGTCTTCCATAGCTAGCTTGTTGACTAGTAGTTCAAACTGTCCTTTGTGTAGTCCTTTGGTGAGTATGTCTGCTGTCTGCTGTCTGCTGTGTAGTAGGTACATAAGGAACACAGATTAGTCCACTTTCGATTTCTCCTTGATAAAGTGCTTATCTACCTCAATATGCTTAGTTCTATCATGTAGAACTGGATTGTGAGCAATCGAGATGGCAGCTTTGTTATCACAGTAAATCTTCATAGGAAGAGGCACCGGAATCTTCAATTCTTCAAGTATTCTCTTCATCCACATTGCTTTGCAAATTCCATGTGCAAGAGATCTAAATTCTGCCTCAGCACTGCTCCGAGCTACAACACTTTTCTTTTTGCTCCGCCACTTGGCAAGATTCCCTCCGATAAAGGTGTAGTAACCTGAAATCGATCGCCTGCCAGTAGTGCTACCGGTCCAATCTGCATCTGTATAGACTTCAATTTGTAGATCGTTCCGTCTTCTAAACATAAGGCCCTTTCTAGGAGTTCCCTTCGGGTATCTTAGAATTCTGTAGGCTGCATCAAAATGTACTTGTCCTAGTGCGTGCATAAACTGGCTTACCATGCTCACGGCGAATGCTATATCAGGATGAGTATGTGACAATTAAATCAACTTCCCCACTAGTCTTTGGAACTTCTCTCTGTCAATCACACCTTCAGATTTAGCAGGATCGAGTTTCAGGTTGACGTCAATAGGAGTCTCCGCTACTCTGCAACCCAGAAGACCAGTCTCCTTGAGGAGATCAAGAATGTATTTCCTTTGGTTCACAAAGATCCCTTCCTTTGATCTTGCGAACTCCATACCAAGGAGGTATTTTAACATACCCAAGTCCTTGATCTCAAAGTCTCACGCCATTTTCTTCTTTAGGTCTGTTATTCCTTCAAGATCATCACCTGTTAGAATTATGTCATCCACGTAGACAATTAAGATGGATATCTTACCTTTCTCCGAGTGTTTATAGAACATCGTATGATCAGCTTGGCTCTGATGATAGTTGTAACTTTTCACAGCCTTTCCAAACCGTTCAAACCACGCTCTTGGAGATTGTTTAAGACCATATAGAGATTTTTTAAGTTTGCAGACCTTGTCTTGACCGAACATCTCAAATCCTGGTGGCGGATTCATAAAAACTTCTTCTAAATCCTCATTCAGGAAAGCATTCTTGACATCTAACTGGTGTAATGGCCAGTTATAGTTTGCTGCTAAGGACAACAGTATTCGAATGTAATTATTTTGGCAACCGGGGCAAAGGTTTCTTGGTAATCCACCCCATACGTTTGTGTAAAACCCTTAGCCACAAGTCTCGCTTTATATCTCTCTACACTTGCATCAGCCTTGCACTTTACTGTAAACACCCATTTGCACCCTACTGTTCTTTTATCCCCTGGTAGGTTGACAACTTCCCATGTCCCATTTTTCCTTAGAGCATTCATCTCTTCCATCACTGCTGTTTTCCAGTCAGGATCATTTAGTGCTTCCTGAATGTTTCTTGGCACAAGTATATTAGAAATTTTAAATGTAAAGGCACAGTGTTTCTTTGAGAGTTTACCATAGGAATATCAAAGTCATTGGAATTGTCAAAAGAAATCGACATAGGATCAATGTTAGACTCAGGTTTTTATTAGGACTAAAGAGAAGATTTAAAAGATAAGATTTTGTAGGGAAGTATCTAGACTACCTGTATTTCTTTCAGATGCATTACCCAGGGTGTCTGGTTGAGCTTGTGCTAAGGGGATGGTAGGCCTCTTACCCTTTTGATGATTCTTCCTCCTTGAATAAACAAGTAGCTCAGTATTTTGTTCCTTGGGAACCAACGGTAGTGTTTCTCCCCCTGTTGAGGACTCAGATGTGTTTGGCATAATAGACTCGGGATCACTAGTTTCCAAAACATTATTGGGAAACTTCAAAAACTCATTTTGAGATATGGGATTGATAATGCAATCCTTTGTTTTAGGTAAGGGTTGGGAAATAACATCCCAAAAATTTCCTTCTTCTAGATTCTCCCCCTGAAGAGAAATTTTTTGAAAGAAAGGTTGATTTTCCACAAAAGTTACATCCATAGAAACGATGGTTGTTCTAGTTCGTGGATTAAAACACTTAGTATCCTCTGTTGTTAGGTGAATAACCAATAAAAATGCATTTTTCAGCCCTTGGATCTAGTTTAGATCGATTTTTACTAGGTATATGAACATAAATTGTGCACCCAAATATTTTTAGAGGAAGATCAGAAGGAATACATGTTTCAGGAAAATACTGTTTTAAACGTTCAAGAGGTGTAGTGTAATTTAGAACACGAGTAGACATCCTGTTAATTAGATAAGATGCAGTTAAAACAGCTTCACCCCAAAGATATTTGGGAACATTCATAGAAAACATAATAGCTCGTGAAACATCAAGTAAATGTTTATTTTTGTGTTCAGCAATACCATTTTGTTGAGGTGTATGCACACAAGTAGTTTGATAATGAATAGCTTTTTATGTCCAAAATTTTCCAAGAACTTCTTTAAAATATTCAGTTTCATTATTTGTATGAAGAATCCCAATTTTGGTTTGAAAAAGATTTTCAATCATCTTGTAAAAGTTTTTAAATAAATTTTCAACCTTAGATTTTTCCTTCATTAAATGAACCCAGCATAAATGAGTATGATCATCAATAAAAGTCACAAACCATATTTTTTCCGAAGAGGTATTGATCCTTGAAGGACCCCAAACATCACTATGAATTAAATAAAAAGGTTTTGAAGCCTTATAAGGTCTTGAAGGATAAATATTTCTATGACTTTTTGATAAAATGCAGTTCTCACAATGTAATTTAGAATAATTCAAACCTTTAAATAAACTAGGAAATACTTTTTTAAGATAAGGAAAACTAGGATGCCCTAATCTATAGTGCCAAAGCATAACTTGATCCTTAACTGGAGTAGAACTGATACTACTTAAGCCTTAAGCTCGTTTATTCTTAGAATCTTCATCTTCAAAATAGTAGAGGCCATCTAACAGCTTAGCACTGCCAATCATCTTCCTCGAGCTCAGTTCCTGAAAGATACAGTAGGATTCAAAAACGGTAACATGACAATTAGAATCTCTAGATAATTTACTAACGGATAACAGATTACAAGAAAGTTTAGGCACATGGAGGACATTTTTGAGGGAAATGGTTTTAGAAAGAGTAATCAAACCTTTTACTAGCTATGGAAGAATATGATCCATCTGCTATACGAATTTTTTCATGTCCAGAACAAGGATTGTAAGTACGAAATAAATGAGAAAGACTTGTCATATGATCAGATGCTCCTAAATCTATGATCCAAGGAGTAGAATAACTAGGAAAATGATAAGATAGGGCATTTGATTTTCTACCATCTGCTCTTTGTTAAAGGGGACAGATTTGGCCTCATGTGCAGTAGCATTGCGGGTGAATCGGCCTTCATGAGAGCCCTTCCAATTAGCCGGTTTCCCATGGATCTTCCAGCAGGTCTCATGTGTATGACGTGGTTTATTGCAATGGTCACATCAAATGCGACTTCTTTCATCAATTTTCTTGGCAGTGTTTCGGCCAGTACTCATTCCAGCGGCCAATGCAGAGTTTTCAAAATTACCGCCGGAGTTCTTCTTGCCAAGCATGACCAAACGGTGGCTCTCTTCACGGCGGACCTCAGAAAACACCTCTCCAATCAAAGGAAGTGGCTGCCTACCAATAATTCTGCCTCTCACCTCTTCAAACTCCATTTTAAGCCCAATAAGAAATTTAAAAATACGGTTATCCTCTACCGTTTTCTTATAGTGATTACAATCTTCTGGGGATTTCCATTTGTGGGAAAATAGGAGAAGAAAAAAATATTTCTTATTCTCTAAATTATACTATACAGCCGGTCCTCTTAGGGTTTTATACACAAAAATAGAATCTCCTAGATTATTCCTTAACCCATTATTCATGAGATATCAGGAAACTAACTGATTACCCTAATCCTAGGGATACACAATATAAAATTCAAACTTTCCTAATATATCCTATTTACAAAATCAATAAGATTGCGTTTTCCACACCATTCATAATCATTAAAAAGATCTAAATCCTGCCAAAGACGTTTTAAGGAATTAAAATACTTAGTGACACTATCCTCACCTTGGCGGATTTCTCCAAGTTTCAAGGTCAATTCAAATACTTGAGGTTGATTTCACAAGTCCGAGTACATTTGATTGACGTCGTCCCAAAGCTCATTTGCCGTGTGATAGCACAAGTAATTGGAGCTTATGTCCTCCTCCATAGAGTTCACCAGCCACGCCATCACCATGGAATTTTCAGCGCCCCACGTTGGATAGGTTGCATCATCAGCCACAGGCTCCTTCTTCTCTCTGGTCAAGTAACCAATGTTGCCCCTACCCCGGATATACATGCGCACTGATTGAGACCTGAGCAGAAAATTTTCTCCATTCAGTTTAAGGGTTATTCCTAGACTGTTCTAGATTGCTAGTAGACTCGGAAACGTCGTCAGACATGATTGAAAAACTGGGCTGTTTCTGGGCAAAAAAACCTAAAGAGGGCGGCTAGGCAACTGGGCTGTTTCTGGGCAGAAAAACTTAAAGAGGGGCAGCTAGGTTTTTTCGGCAGAGGCAGAGAATAGGACCAGACTAGTGCTCTGATACCATGAACATGAATTGAGTGAGTTTCTATTATTCACAGTTATACATATAAATAGCTGTACAAGGAACCATTTTAGGAAACTATCCTAGGAAATAAAGACTAATTGACAACTATACACAAAACTATTCTGGGAAACTAGATCAAATCACAATCAGTCCTATTTTTGATACAATCTTTCTTAATTCGGGTGAATATCCGAATATCTTGCGACACAATCTTCCTTAATTCGGGTAAATATCCGAATATCTTGCAACAGAACTAAAATAACACACGTGCCTTTTAGTTATTATTATTCTTTTCTTTACTGAATCTGAGCTTCCCAAGTCCTAACCAACTCCTTTCAATCTGATCCAAGTCCCAGGAGCAAAAAGATATATTGATAATTTGACCATACATTGCACGGAAATTTGTTTGCCTCCATGTGAACTATTGAGTGTCAAATTTCAGCAGCAGATTGATACCGTGATAACTTGTCTCAACTTTTCATGCAAAGTTCGCTTTTTTAGGTGAATTTTTTAATTCCAAACTAGTGTGCTTCGAGTCATGAGAGATGATTTGTAAGATCCTGTTTACAAGAAGGCAAACAAACAAGGTAGTAAACACGTGACACTGGTGTGGTCTGAAATTCTTGCTTGGGGTTCACGCTGTTGTGACATTGTTAGATAAGAACGCAAAAACTTAAAAAATAAAGATCAGCAGCCTTCTTGGTAATTTTTAAGCAGTTTATGTTACCACTAACTTATTAAGAGATAAGTCTTTAGATTTTTGCTTTACAACAATATAATGATTCCTAATTGAAACTTGTGTGAAAATCTCATGTTTATAGACTACATAGTTTGTGGGTCCTTAATAAGTAAAAAAAACTTTTTAACACTTCTCTTACCAATCTTTTAACATCAAAAGCAGGTTGGACGTATGACTTTAGGCGGGCTGCTTGCTTTGGGATACAATGTCGTTGTTAGTTACAAACGAGCATCTACGTCAATCAATAATGGCACTGTATCAATGTCACTCGAAACCATTGATACTCTTGAGGAGACATTCATGGTGCTGAGAGGCACAAATAGGAAAGTATGACCCTGGTGTTCTTTAGTAAAGTTAGTATAACTACCTATGTTTTATTTTTCCCAAGGCTTACTACTACTGTACTGATTATGGGATCATCACTTGTATATGTTGTTCAGTTGATCAATGGTAATGCTATATTGTATTGGTATCCTCTTCTTTAAAGCTAATTTTATTTCGTAAGAAGGATCTTTTGGGCACAGAGAGGAGGATCCATGGACCTGTTCGGTGGACCCAAAAGGAAAAAATCTCTTGTGGACCAAAAAACAAGAAAAGAGCATAAACATGACCGAAGGGGCATTTTAAACATTTGTATTTTAAGTGCTGGAACTTTGAATGTTTTCTTGAGGGGCCAGTTTTAAGCATAAAGATCATCAAGAACAAGAAAATCTCTGACTTAAGAATCAGAATCATTATATTTGTTTTTTTGTTTTCCCTTCTTGAAGATATTGTCTTGATAAAGGTCGATCATTTGACCATGTAGAGTGATAGTGCAAACTTCATAGGTTTTTTCTATGGATCAAGTTAGTTACGTACTGAGTCTTGTGCAAGGTGGTTGGAGACTAATTGTCACTAAAACTTGTTCATTTTGGTTGATCTTATTTTCTGTAGACAGTTGGAAAAGAAGCGTTAAAGATGGGCATTGGGGGACCTTGGATCACTAAGTCATATCTGGAAATGATTCTGGATAGAAAAGGTTGCATACTGGACGTTCTTCTGTCTGGCATTATAATGAATGTTTATTCTACTGTTAAAGTATTTGATTTTTTCCTGGACATTCTCCTTTTTCTTCTCCTTAGAAATTTTGGTATGTGGTTTCGCAGTCGTCATTATTGTTATGGTCTATGATAGATTATTCTTATTTCTTGTGCAGGTGTACCTCGTCTTAATACACCACCACTTGTGTCTAGTACTTCTCTTACCAGTAACCAAGACAGAACAATAGCTGCACCCAAGCCCATCCGTGTTACTCCGAATCTCGTACCTAGGCTTGAGGATTTATCTCAGCCATGGACTCGATCCCCAACAAAAGCAACAATGGAACCTGTAGTGGCAACATGGCAATTCCTTTCATCAGATCCTCATTGTGCTGATAGCTCAACCATAGGTATGTTTCCTTGACGTTTAGACTGACCTTGTCATAATTTTTTTTTTTTTCCTGGGCACACTGCAACTTCCATGTTTAGACTTCTCTCATGAAGCAACCACAGATCCTTCCACTTTCAGGGATACCATGAAACTTGCTCCAATGCCGGATTCATATGACTTGGATAGGGGATTGCTTCTTGCTGTGCAAGCAATTCAGGTAAGGAGTCTAAGATAAGTTGATAGTAAGGTTTTGTGAACATGAACCTCTTGGAAACTTCCATCGTGAGAACTTGAACATATTTTTTTAATGTAGTCTTTTGTTGACTATTTCAGGCTTTGTTGGAGAATAAAGGTTTCCCAGTTATAGTTGGCATTGGTAATATGGGTTTGGGTTGACCCCACCTCCTCCCCTCCTCTTGTGGTTGAGTCTACACTAGTCAGCATTTTTGCCTGTTTAAGAAGTTACTATTAGCGTTACACATTCCATATGTTGTTGTAGCATACATATTGAACCGTATAGGAATTCTATAAACATGCGTATATTCTGTAATCTGTTGTATAATTCATTTGCCTGGGAGTCAAGCTTTCACTTGGTGGATGAGAGGGAAGATTTAAACTGTTTGGCTGGGAATCCAGCTTTCACGTGGTAGATAAGAGAGAAGTTTTAAACCTGATCTGCAAGCCTGTCTCGTATGATTTTGGATCTGGGAATTTATCTTTTTCATGTGAAGGCACAAGGATGTTGTGTTGTTTTGGTTCACCAATATCCTGCCTTTAACTCTTTTTGGATCATGTCTTTGTGCAATTTTCATTGATGGGTTATGTAAATCAGAAAGGGGGGATACCTCTTTCTCTCTCTCTGTCTCTCTCTCAATAGAGAGAGCCATTTTCTATTTTATCAACATTCTTTTTTACTCGTAAGAGTTATTACTACGTGCGGGTCCTTCTTCTCTCTCTCTCTCTCTCTCTTTCAATAGAGAGCCATTTTCTATTTTATCAACATTCTTTTTTAGTTGTAAGAGTTATTACTACGTGCCGGTCCTTTTTGGTGTTTGTATGTATGCACTGAGCTTTTATCATTTCTGTTTGAACGAGGGCAATAAAAAAGGTTGTATTTTTGGTGGGGTCTTTTTACTAAACGAAGTAATGGGGAAAACAGCCGATATTAATGTAAAAATGATCAGTTCAAACTACACAATTGCAATTTTTGTTTAGAAGTTGAACTTCACATTCTGGGACTAATATCCTTTTCTAGTCTGTGGAGCCTGCTTCTTTAACATCTTGACTTTATTTTACCTTGAGATACTTATGTTATTGCTTATGTTGCTGTTGCAGGAGGTCCAAGTGGGTCAGGAAAGACTAGTTTGGCTCACAAAATGGCAAATATAGTTGGTTGTGAAGTTGTTTCACTCGAAAGCTATTATAGGTCCGAACATGTTAAGGATTTCAAGTATGACGACTTTAGCTCGCTTGATTTATCCTTGCTCTCAAAAGTAAGTTATCCATCATTGTGTGACTCATGGAGTCTATACGATTTCTTATATTGTATCTTGTGGTATGTGAGACATGGCTAGTCAGGTGATTATTGACTTCTTGCATCTATGGAGACTGTAAAATCTAGAAATTTGGACGAATCAACAGGGCTTACACATTTGCTTGAGCCAATTTCCTAACCTTTTATTATACAATTTCCTCTTTAACATCCGCTTAATGATACCTACAGTAAACACTATGGTATTATACAGGTGTTGAGAAAGAATTATCTGCTGAGATGTCTGTACATAAATTTATCGAGACCGCTTTTGCTTATGATGTTTTGAATTGTTAGCAATATACGAGACCTATCATTCACAACAAAAAACATCTATTGCTTTAAACAATGGTTGGTACTCTATTTATAGAATTTGAAATGTAAATTAACACAGTCAAGTCTTTTTACACGAAAGATTTGCATGGATTTAAGAATGATTTTTTGTAAGTTGTAATGTTTGAGTAATGAAGGCGGAGACTTACTGATAGGTTTCAACTGAGAATAAGAAACAAAAGGTGGGCTCTTTTTTTTGGTTTTTCATTCTCCTGTAATATATTGTCGAAACCATTTTTCTCAATATTGGCATGCCTAACAAATTGTTTTCATATAGTTTTTGAATTGTTACTGCTTTTATTTGGTGTTTCCTAGTAAAGTGAAGGTTGTATTACTATTTTAAAATAGTAGACAATCATCTGCAGAATATTGATGATATAAGAAATGGCCGGAGAACAAAAGCGCCTGTTTTTGATTTGGAGACTGGTGCCCGGAGTGGCTTCAAGGAACTTGAAGTTTCAGAAGATTGTGGGGTGGTCAGTTACAAATTTTCTTAGAATTGGTCATCTTTTACATTGTGCTGCTTGGTATTAAATGTCATGATTCTTTCTTGGAAAGAACAAAAAATAAACAGAGCATGTTTGTAGAAAGAAAAGTAAACAGAGAATGGGTTGGCTTTGAGCTATTTTAGTGTACTACAATGGGAAAATTTAAATTTATATATCAAATACTATGCTGAATTATATATTACTTGTATGTAAAGCATGTAGCTCTAGAAAATTGTTTGTCTAATACATCTCACAGTTTTTATGATAATCACACTTATATTTCGCAATTCAAACTATTCATTTAATTAAAATTACCGAATTTTAGCTTTCTTTTTCTTTTTCTCGCTTAATAAGATTTTTCTGTTTTCTTTAAGCAGATCATTTTTGAAGGAGTTTATGCTCTGCATCCTGATATCCGAAAATCTCTGGACTTGTGGATTGCTGTTGTAAGGATACCTTCCTAATTCTTTTGCGAAGCTTTTATATCCTCCCGTTCTTCATCAATTTCTTCTTATTCGCACGCCCTCCCTCTAAACTTGACCTCAATTGATGATGAGAAAGAGTAGCCATCGCTAACCTCTTTAATCTCATTGTCATTATTTTGTTCCGTGAAAAACAGGTTGGCGGTGTTCACTCGCATCTTATCTCCCGAGTTCAAAGGGATAAAAGTAGAATGGGGTACTTTATGTCCCAGAACGAGATTATGACGACAGTGTTTCCAATGTTTCAGCAGCACATTGAACCACATCTTGTTCATGCACATGTTAGTGGATTGGGAGCTTTCCGAAAGTTTTATTTATGAAAGAATGAGTAGTTTATTTGAAGATTATCCAACAGGAAATGTGTTTTTCAAGATTATTTGTTTGTTGATTTCGCAGGAGCCACACTGTCGATTTTCTTAAAAATGTTTTGTAATTCCTTCCCCTTTTTGGACGTATGCTAGTGCATGCATTGTACTGTACTGATACAACAATACTATTCAGAGCTGAATTTGGTTGTCTTATGATGACTAAAAGATTTGTTTTCTTCTTCATTGCAGCTCAAAATTCGAAATGACTTTGATCCTGTGCTTTCTCCTGAGAGCTCATTGTTTGTGTTAAAGAGTAACAAGCAAGTAGGGCATTGTCGCACTATCTGAAATTTACGTGTATCTGATTTGCTTCTGACAAATATTTTCCATGTTGTCCAATTGGTAACAGGTGGGTTATCAAGATATCTTGAAATTTCTTGATCCAGCAAAGTTCTGTAGCTCTGTTCAGAATTTCATTGATTTATATTTCAAACTTCCGGGGATTCCTACTAATGGGCAGTTGACTGAAAGTGATTGTATACGGGTTAGAATATGTGAGGGCAGATTTGCACTGTTGATACGTGAGGTTTGAAGTGCAAACATTTTTCATTCCTTGTAATAATTAGTCTCTTTCTTTGAGATAGTAGTAACCTGATTTGGGTTTTCATTTCGATTTATTACTAGCCAATAAGAGAAGGAAACTTCATCATTCAACCAAAAGTAGATTTTGATATTAGCATCAGTACAGTTGCTGGCCTTCTTAACCTGGGGTAAGTTATCTTTTTTAACGGTGGTTGTTGCATATGATGTTACAGTAAACAATTGTCATTATCATTTTGTGATGTTAGGTATCAAGCTGTAGCTTATATCGAAGCATCTGCATTCATTTACCAAGACGGAAAGGTTATTATCATTTATGAATTATTTCGCTAATCTTTTGCTCTAGTAGTTATTAATTTGTATCATATGACGTTCCCATAGTCGAAGTATACCGTATTTCAAGTTTCTAATGTTTAAATCTTTGCATTTTCATTGTCTGATTTAGATTTTAATTGAGATTGATCATTTACAAGATGAGCTTGGTCCATACCTACAAATCAAGGGGGTTAATAAAGAGGCAGTCAAAACTGCTGGTTCAATGCTTAAACTGGATGGTTCATATACGACAAAGGTTTTTTGCCTTTATTATACTATGTGATTGTATAATTTTTATATAATAATGCGGTTAGAGTGGAAGAGATCTGGTCATAAGGTCCTACTCCTGGTATACTATGGGTGACTTCAAGTGCGCTCTGCTATTGCCTTTTATTTTTTCTTTCGACATCTATCCTTTGTTTTATATAAAATTGTGCATGCATATGTATCACTTGTATTGCGTAAAGTGGTATGTGTTGTGCCACTAAGGGCTTTCTTCCTTTGTTTAATGTAAACCGTTAATGTTTTTCTTCCTTTTCTGGCGCCTTCAAGATTTTGACTTCCCTTATATTTATATTGCCTGATTTGCTCCTTGACGTTTGTTTTAATTTTATTTAATTTTTGTAGAGTTATCTTCAGATAGTCCTGGAAAGATTACCTGCACTGGAAAGGAATTCTGCCGGTATTCACACTCATCAAGCTGCAAGGTTGCACGAGCTTGTAGAATTCATTCAATCTCAGGTATTTTCTTTCTATGTTTACGGTAGTGCTGTTATTTAGCAGGAGATGAAGTAGTTATGATATAATCAGATCAATAACCATTTTCCACAAAATTAAGACTTGAAATCAGTGGCTTCCATTCCATCCAAAAAGAGAAAATTGGAGCTATATAAGCCACCCATCTTCCAAGTAAACATATCTTTAATATTTTTGCAAGTGCTGTTGCATATCCAGTATTTACCATAATTGTTGTGGTGGATGGAACAAACAGGGAAGCTGTTCGGCTTCTGAATCCTCACCGAGCAGGGAAATTTCTCCAATGGAAGGGGTTATTGAAGACATGCAATCAAGGATTAGAAGGCTTGAACGCTGGCATACAATCAATACAGTATATACAATGCCCTTTTCTTGAAGAGTCATTTGTAACATTAGTGTTTCCCAACCTTATTTAAGTACTTACGCGACCTTTGTGGCAGGTACTATGGACTTTTTTGATGTCTGCCCTTGTTGGTTACTCACTCTACCAAAGAAAACGACACTAATTTCTATTTCTGGACTCTAATTGCAAGAAGAGTTCTCCTTGACTGTATATTGCAATGGCAGTATCTTTTTTCACTGCCTGGCTTTCATGAATTCTCCTTCCACACAATTTCATATTAAGCACAGTTTTCAACAGGAACTTCCCAACGAGCACTTGTTTCCCTGGTCTAGGATCAGTGCCAGTCATAAGAAACGTTTTATGATTGTAACTTTAAAGCAATTACTTTCGTTGTCCCCTTTTTGGGGAATTCTCAAGAGGAAATGAAAATAATAACAGGTTGAGAAATTTGATGAATAAACCCACTACGGATTTTGTTCTTTTTGGATCATGATAGTCGTGTATAGACTATAAACTTGGAAAGCTAATCTTAATTACATGCTTGACTTTTCCTCTACATTGCCTACCATTTTCTTTTTTCCTGTAAAATAAAGTCCTTGTCTCAGAACTCGTATTCTAATTCAAAATCACGGGATATTTATATTTTTTATATCATGTGTTTTAAGTTTATTTAAAATCTAAATTTTTATTTTTTTTATCTCATTAAATTTATACTTTCAAATTAAATTTAATATACAAATCTATATTTTATCTCAATCAATAATTGATTTTAACTTTTAAAATGATTCAACTATCTTTAAGAAAGAGAGAAAAAAAAAACTTCTATTTACCAATGTCACAATAAATTAAAACTTAATAACATAAAAAAAGCTCATTTTAATGGTATATTTTTTAGAAGAAAACCGTACGTTAAGTTTTTAGAGTTTTTCATTTTCTTATTCAAGGGTTTTTAGGTATTTTAAAGTTAAAATCAAGAGTGACTGGAAATGTATAAATTTAGATATTAAATTTAATTTAAGGTATATATTTGATGAGATAAAAAACTGAAGATGTCATTTTTTAATAAACCCAAAATATAAGGTATAAAAAAGTAAATATCCCAAAAATCATTACAACATGAGAAGGCTGTGTTTCAACTTAAAAATCGAAAGTTGTAATACACAAAAATGACTTTGCAGGTACCGAAAACCATTCATATTGTACTCCATGGAACGCAGCAAATGTAAACTTGAATAAAAATTTGCATCATGTCCCAAAGATATAATTTTATTTCAGCATATAGATATCCATTTATCTTTGCCTTTGAAAGAAAGAACTGTGTTATCCACAATCCTATTATACCTACCAAAATCCTATTACACCTCATTTCCAAGACTGGCTATTTGGTCAACGAATAGTAGGTAGAAAGAGGCCTAACTTCGACCCACGCAAGATCAACTGCTATACAGAAGAGAAATAGCACAACATAGCTCTATTGCAAACTTCAAAATCTTTTCCAACAATAGTGGCGATGGTATTCTATATTTTTGTAAATGACTCCAAAATCTGGGGATTCTTAAAGAAATATGCAGCAATGGCTATTAGGAAAATCAATATAATGAGCCACAAGCTAATTTCTCCTGCAAAGGAAACAAAAGTAAATGTTACATTCAGAAAGACAAAAAAGAGCTGAAACAAACAAATGAGAATATATCTGAACTAAGTAGGCCTCGTGATCTTCTCTTCAATTCATGTAGTTCTGCACAAAAACAAGTTTACCGTGATGTCAACGGATAACTACCAGACCTACCCGTTACTCGAGCAGCCCCACCACATTTACCCTGAAAATTTTCAGGGGACTCTGTGTCTTAATATGTGTTGAGATCCCTTCGTTTTATATAAGTATCACTTACTATTATTTAGTTAGTTTTACGTGACATTTTCTGCTCCCTAATGCCATTTCAATTTCTTTCAGAAAACTATTATTAAAAGATGGCTCCTCCTGCTGTTCCTCCACTTTTCCAAACTAACCTCAACATAAATACATGTTTATTTATTTGTTAGAAAAGATTATTTAGTAATTTAAATGTACTAGCAAGGAGGTTAGAGCTGCTACTTGTTTAAAATTAATTTAATAGCCGACTTGGGTCTCCATTGAGAGTTAAGGTTAAGTGAGAAATGTGCAAATTACTTTAAGATAATAACCAACTTGGGTCTCCAATGAGAGGTAAGGTTATGTGAGGAATGTATTGACTACAGTGTAAAGAAGCATCTCAAGCAGTTGGCACATAATACAAGAAATAGGATGTAAAGAACATCTCAAACAGTTGCCATGAAATACAATAGACATTCTACTGAATCACATTCAGATATATGGGCGGCACTTACGATTTTCCTTCGCCTCCTGGATTATTGTCACCCTTGCACTTGAGTCCAGGGACGCAGAAGCAAAAGCGCTGTATTTAGTTAAGTCACATGGTTCACTAGTGGTTCTTAGAATAATTTTTTTTTTTTTTAATTAACCAGAGGCGAAGAAAATGTCAATAACCTTGAATCAGGAGAGAATCTCAATGCAGTTACAAAGCCAAGGTGTGCCTTTTTAATCACTTGATGAGTCCGCATACTTGTTGAGTTTATAATCATAACATCTCCTTCGGTTGTTCCACTGTATTTTCAAAGGGAAAAAGAGAAAATTTAAAGGAAAAAAAAAATAACACTGTTTATTTCATCGCTCACTGATATTACAACCCACGAAGTGAAGAATTTACCATGCAAGGAACTTTCCATCAGCAGAGACATCAAAGGCTAAAATTGTGTCACGGACAACAGACTTAGAACTAATCCTCTTCCATGTGGTTGTGTTCCATGTTGCAATGCTTCCCCCTTTACCTGTTACGTACAAAGATCCATGATGTTTAACTATTGAAACAACAATACAGAAAAAAACCAGTTCATTCAATAGTTCAGGAAAATTATAAATGGGTTCTGTCTACCTGTCACGGAAACAGTGTATAGAACAAGATTCTTCTCATTGGTCTGTGAAAATCTGCATGAGCAAAAAATTTCATCCTGCATGCGTGTAACCAATCAGTTAATAAATAATAATAAAAAATCACATGATTTCTTCAATGTGAAGTCACACAGAAAATATGAAAACAAAAATTTAGCGGATCTGGTGTCCCAGCAGAAAACTAGGTTCTTTGCTGAGTTGTGAAACCAATCAAAATGTTGTAGGATTCAATTGTATGCTACATTCTCCTACTCTTGAATTTAACAACTGTTCCATTTATATTGTTAAAGCATGAATAGGAGCATCTTGAGAGTTACTCACATTTCCCTTTGGCAGAGAAGCTACAGCTTTTGATGAAGTTACATCCCACACCCTACAGCCACCATTTCCCAGGGAGACAAGCAATTTTCCATCAGGGCTGAGCAAAACCATTAAGCCAGGAAGATAAGTAAAAAACCAAAAGCAAAAATATGAAAGAAATATCTCCTGTTTCTAAATATAGTGACACTGCAAACCTGAAATCTAAATCCTTCACACTAGCATGAGCTTGAGCTTCATTAAGAATAATTTCCATGCTAGGCCATTTGAAAACCTTTAAATTGCCATTCTGTACTGCAACAAAGTCAAATAATTATAAAGCATGCTTTTTCCGGGGAAAAAAAATCATCATTTCTTCCTATTAATTGACTTTTCCAAAACATGCAGAATTGCAAAAGCAGTAAAACAAGAGGCAAAGCACCAGTTATTGGAAGAGATCACGAAGGCAAAAACTAAATTCTGTATCAATTAGATGTAGCATTTCTTCATTTTGTAATATCACGCCTTTATGTAGAAGTGGAGTAAATAACTAAAACTAGAATAGTAATTGAGAATACATTACAAAACAAATATACGAAGTAAATTCACTTTCCCCTTGCGTGGGGCCTTTTTTTTTTCCCCCTCTATACATAGTAAAAAACAACAATCTGAGGATGCTTATCCACCTCACCACCGGATGCAAGTACAGATCCCTCATCGTTAAATTCCAATGCTAACTGTTGTTCAACGTCTTGCAATAAGTTAAGCTCTTTCTCAGACTGCTTGATACCCAGTTTATGACCTTCAGAGCTACGTTCTCCATCCCACTCAAACCATCTGTACGAGAATGTCCAATTATTAACCCACCATTACCAAAGTACAATCTTCTTTGTGCTCTCAGGAAAATAAATAATGCTAACAAACCATTCCGTTTAGTAAGCAGAGCGTCGTCCTTCAATTGATAAAATAAAATTTTCTATAACGAAAATTTGGTATGAAAGTTTGAGATGTCTAACAATATTACCAGGTGAAGTATAAAGATTCAAGGGGGAAAAATCCCCTTGTAGAATTTCAACTTATACTTAACTATCTCACTGGCACAGTGATTAAAGATGTACTACTTTAAAGTCAACAACTTTTTAAAGCTAATCATAACTTCACTGAAAGACCAAAAGGAGTTTCCTTACATACCTGCAAAATTTTGGGAATGAGCAAATGAGTCCCTCTCCACGGGGATGACCCGCCATTCGATAAGGCAAATCAGAGCCAGTCCCATGCTTAACAACCTGCATTTATCGCAAAACTCAATCAGCGATTGACAAAAGAGGAAAACTTGACCTAAATTCGAAGAGAGGGATCAGGAAATTCACAGGCAGATCGGAGAGAGAATTGGAGGCGAGATCGAACTCGGAGAGAACGACGGCGTTGGGGATCCCGCTCCGGCCCTCGCCGCCGCCGCCTGCCAAAACGACATAGTTCCGATCGTCATTCCGATCTGGCTGGTCCTCTTTCTGGTCTTCTTCGGATTTGAAGTCAAATCGGATGGACTTGTAGGGAACCCAAGCAACGGCGTAGAAAGGCACGCCGTACTTTCTGAAGTTCGAAGGCTCTGGATTATTGCTCTTCGCCATTGTTGGTCGCTCGGATCTCTCTCTGTGTCTGAATTTGAGCTCGAATCGTGTGATAAGCATAAAGGTCGAGTCGCTCACTGAGTCACAGACAGTAATGCCTCTGTGAAATTACCGTAATAACCAATTTGGGGACGAACAATTACCATTTTGTCCACTTCAGAAGTGATGCATACTGGGAAAATGTCATTTAGATAATTTATAAATGAGGTTATGTTTTTTTAACCGTTAAATTTACGTATTTTTTTTAATTTTATGTGTTTTTATATAAATTTGAAGGATATAAAACTTAACCTATTAGTACGTTAGTGTATTAGAAAATGTCCTTAAAATTATAAATAATTAAAGGAAAAAGCTACAATATGGAAGCTTTTTTTTATGGCTGGCAATTCAGGTAGTAACACGACTCAAAACTCGCACAAAGTTAGCAAGTTTGAGTTTATTATATATGGGTTTAGATTATAATCGGGTTGACACGATTAATAAATGGGTTAGGTTAGGGTTGACCTCTTAACACGAAGTAACACGAATTAACACGATTAACTATATGTGTCATCTGTAATCTCATAATATGTGATATAACATGAAAATTTATATGACACATTAAATATAAATAATGTGAATTTTAATATTAAGAGGTAAAATCTATTTATTTTTCTTAAAAAAAGATAAATTAATCAATAAACATGTTAAACCTGTATTGATCATATTAAATAAATCATTATTATATTAATTATTTATTTAATATATTAATTTAAACTGATTATAAAGATTGACACGATTAATACAATTAATAAATAAGTTATATTTAAGTTAATATTTTTAACACATTTAATAAATATATTATATTTAAATTAATATTTTTTTGACATAATTAATAAATTAATTAATACAAATATTAACACAAATTGCCACTCTACTTTTTTCCCTTGTCCATACGTTTGTCCGAGATTGTCAACAAACTCACACTTACTAATGTGAGCCATATACACTAGACTAATGGCATGTTTACTATGCCTTCACGTTGCCGGAGATTTTTTTTCCTAGTATTTTCATTTTTTTTTTTTTTGTAATTATTGGATAAAGAATAGCTTGTTATCAAATGTGTAGCAGTTTTTATATTTGTTTCTATCATAACGTGATTTTCGACCACTTGTTTTGAATAAACAGTTTTAAAAAACTTTCGTGGCCTTCGTACTGTAGTCCTCCCCATAACAAAATGATGCTAGTCAATACGTTTTGTACGGACACGCTATTAATATCGTAAATTTTTTTAGACCGTCAGATTGATAGTTGAAGGCTGCAGATCGCAGTCTCATGGAAAGAAAAATGGGCACAACTTCATTTGCTCACGATCTATTATTAATCAAATAGTAAAAAAACAGAGGAAAGTTCTAAAAAAAACGGTCGGTTACTGGAGGAATTGCCAACGAGCATCAAACGTGCCTCCTTCAGGACGAGGATCGAACCTCCATCGTGATGAGGACCGGACCTTCGTCGTGACGTTTCGCGATGAAATGGTAGTCACGAGCTCCGGCCCAAGGGGTCTCGATTTTCGTCGCGACCTCCATCCGACCCATGGGGTCACTATCTGGGGTCGTCGCACCCTGATCTGGCATTGCCAGCGACCCTCACTTCGGCGATGTGAACAAATTTCATATCTAAGATATGAGGGCCGTGTTTGGAATTAATCTCATTTGTGAGAAAAAAATGGCCTAAAAAAATAACAAAAAGAGTAAAACGTAGTCAAAAAGTCCCCGGCCCGCGTAATGGGGAGCCCAGGGGACAGCTCAGGGGCCGGAATGAGTCAAAATTTTACATTTTTATTTATGTTTTACATTCTAAAATTAATATACAATTTTTAGGAATTAATGCAACAAGCGGCACCATTTTTTGATGAATATTCTATTTCTTATGATTTTTTTTATTTTTCATCTTTAAAAAATATAATAAAATAAAAACGACGTCAAAAAATAATAAAATTTTGCAAACAAGATCCTTACATTTTACTAGGCATGTCACCAAAAAATGGCCTCAAAAAATGACAAAAAAAGTAAAACGCTGTCAAAAAGTCATCGGCCCGCGTAGTGAGGCACCCAGGGACCAGCTTAGGGGCCGGGATGGGTAAAAAATATACATTTTTATTTATATTTTGTGTTCTAAAATTAATATATACTTTTTAGGAATTAATGCAACAAGTAGCACCTTTTTTTTATGAATATTCCATTTTTTATGATTTTCTTTATTTTTCGTCTTTAAAAAATATAACAAAATAAAATCGATGTAAAAAAATAATGAAATTTTGCAGACACGATCCTTACATTTTTCTAGCCATGCCATAATAAAATGGCATAAAAAAAGATAAAAAAATTAAAACGCTGTCAAAAATCTGCCAAGTTGCGTTGTAGGGTGCCCAGGGGCCAGCTCAGGGGCTGGGATGAGCCAAAAATTTATATTTTTATTTATGCTTTGCATTCTAAAATTAATATATCATTTTTAGGACTTAATACAACAAGCGGCACCATTTTTTGATAAATATTTTATTTTTTATGATTTTCTTTATTTTTCATCTTTAAAAAATACAATAAAATAAAAACGATGTCAAAAAATAATGAAATAATACAGACACGGTCCTTACATTTTTTCTAGGCACCCCAGAAAAAAATGGCCCTAAAAAATGACAAAAAAAGTAAAACGCTGCCAAAAGCCCCCAGCTCGCGTAGTAGGGTGGGAGGCCAGGGGCCAGCTCAGGGTTCGGGATGGGTCAACAATTTATATTTTTATTTCTGTTTTATATTCTAAAATTAATATATGATTTTGAGGAATTACTGCAACAAGCGGCACTATTTTTTGATGAATATTCTATTTTTCTTGATTTTCTTGATTTTTCATCTTTAAAAAATATAATCAAATAAAAATGATCTCAAAAAATAATGAAATTTTGTAGACACGATCATTACATTTTTCTAGGAATGCCAGAAAAAATGGCCTCATAAAATGACAAAGAAAAGTAAAATACCGTCAAAAAGCCCCCGGCCCGCGTAGTAGGGCACCCAGGGTGAATCTCAGGGGCCGGGATGAGTCAAAAATTTATATTTTTACTTATGTTTTACATTCTAAGATTAATGTATGATTTTTAGGAATTAATGCAACAAGCGGCACCATTTTTTGATGAATATTCTATTTTTTATGATTTTTTCCATCTTTAAAAAATATAATAAAATAAAAATTACGTCAAAAAATAATGAAATTTTACAGACACGATCCTTTCATTTTTCTAGGCATGTTAGAAAAAAATGGCTTCATAAAATGACAAGGAAAAGTAAAACGATGTCAAAAAGCCCCTGGCCCGCGTAGTTGGGTGCCCAGGGACAAGCTCACGGGCCGAGATGGGTCAAAAATTTACATTTTTATTTATATTTTACATTCTAAAATTAATATATGATTTTTAGGAATTAATGCAACAAGCGGCACCATTTTTTGACGAATATTCTATTTTTTATGATTTCATTTATTTTTCGTATTTAAAAAATATAATAAAATAAAAACGACGTCAAAAAATAATAAAATTTTGCAGACATGATCCTTACATTTTTCTAGGCGTGCCAGCAAAAAATGGCCTCATAAAAAGACAAAGAATTGTAAAACGCTGTCAAAAAGCCCCTGGCCCGCGTAATGGGGCACCCATGGACAATCTGAGGGGCCGGAATGGGTCAAAAATTCACATTTTTATTTATGTTTCGCATTCTCAAATTAATATGTGTTATTTAGGAATTAATGCAACAAACAACACCATTTTTTGATGAATATTCTATTTTTTATGATTTTTTTATTTTTCATCTTAAAAAAATATAATAAAATAAAAGCGACGTAAAAAAATAATGAAATTTTACAGACACGATCCTTACATTTTTCTAGGCATGTCAGCAATAAATGGCCTCATAAAATGACAAAGAAAAGTAAAACGCTGTCAAAAAGCCCCCGACTAGCGTAGTGGGGCGCCCAAGGACAGGCTTAGGGGCCGTGATGGGTCAAAAACATACATTTTTATTTATGTTTTGCATTAGAAAATTAATATACAATTTTTAGGAATTAATGCAACAAACGGCACCATCTTTTTATGAATATTCCATTTTTTATAATTTTTTTTTATTTTTCATCTTTAAAAAATATAATAAACTAAAAATGATGTCAAAAAATATTGAAGTTTTGCATACACGATCCTTACATTTTTCTAGACATGCCAGAAAAAAATAGCCTCATAAAATGACAAAAAAAAGTAAAACACTGTCAAAAAGCCTCCAGCCTACGTAGTGGGGTGCCCAAGGACAAACTCATGGGCCGATATGGGTAAAAAATTTAGATTTTTATTTATATTTTACATTTTAAAATTAATAATTTTTATGAATTAATGTAACCAGCGACACCATTTTTTGACAAATATTCTATGCTTAACCTATATCGGATGGGATTTGAAAAAATAAAAAAAATTCATCATCTTTACCCTTTATTACTCATCAGTTTCCTCTTGCTTGTAAATCCTCTCCTCTCTTCATCTTTCTTCTCCTAGGTGTTTATGTCGCTATTCTCCCTCACTTCATCTTCTCTTACCCATTAGTTTTGTACCATATTTTGTTTTTTTGATTCTCAACAGCATAAAGTATGACTTTCAGAAATCTTTCTTCAATGCTCTTCTGAACCTTGCCCTTGTTAATTTTTAACATTTCCTTTTTCGTTCGGTGGAAATCGCCGAGAGGTAAATATCTTTATGGTTTAGTTTTGCCCTAATCTGAAATGCCTCGTGCTTTTCTTTTGGTGGTTGCTGCCTTATCTATCTCATAATTCTTTTGTGTCTCTTTTCTATTATTGCGTTTATTTTGTTGGCTTTGGGCGCTGATTAGGTTGAGTCATGGACAAGCCTTAGCTCCTTCTACCACATCCGAGGGTCCATTCAGCCATGGTAAGCTTTTTTTTTTTTTTTTTTTTTTTCTCACTCTCTCTTCGAACTTATAAATTAAGAGATTGATCTTAGTTAATCCCTAAATTATGTAAGCTTTTTTCCTGCCAGGATCTTACTATTTAACAATAAGGGAACATAGCCATAAAAATGGAAATAATGGTTATGACTTTTTTTTAGTCACTGTTCAGTCCTTTTTATTATAAATTTGGGTTCTTTTTAGTCACTGTTTGAGAACTAGGTTAATTCCTTTTGTGCTCTTTTTTTTTTTTTTTTTTTTTTTTTTTTTTTTTTTCTGTTTTGGTTTTTGTTTTTTTCTCTTTTCTTTTTAACGTTGTCTCCCCCACCCCCTCCCATTTTTTTCCATTCTTTTCTCCTCCAGCTTTTTTCTCTATCCTTTTCTTTCACCTCTCTCTGCCTTTTGTTTGTGCTCTCCCTCTATGCATTAAGATGAACGAAGAGTTGTTTGTGTTCTCCCTCTATGCATTAAGATGAACGAAGAGCCATCATTTTGGGCTTGTGAGAGAGGCCATTATCAGAGTAATTGTTGTCTGCTCTATCTCCTTTCATTTTAATTATTTGAAACATATATCTGCACTTTCATACGTGCGGATCTATTGTGTAATGGGTAACTTTCTTAGTGTTTGGTTGCTGTGAGATAAACACAGGATATTGTTGTTGCAAAGGGTGTTGTTAATTCCATTAAGAAAACATCAATCTTATGATCAAATGTTGACAAGGATTTCTTAGTTGCTAATGTCTGATAAATCATAACTCATGCCATAGTTGCTCTGATAAATAGCATAGTCATATGATTACAAATTTCTCTTCCATTAATTGTTCCATTCATATTTCTGTTATGTGATTTGCTTGATTATCCAATTCTCTCTGTAAAACGCTTTAAGATATGTTCGTCTTTGTTGGTCATCTTTGTCTGGGAAAGTAGATATAAGGAGCTGTGTTGTTTAAAATTCTTTTTCTTGTTGGTTGTTCCTGAATTTTTTATGTACTGTTTCTGCTTTGTAAGTTTTTACATTTCAGAAGAACCAATTTTTATGCTATACTTAGGTCGCTGGAACTTTTGTGAAAGTTGGCGTATGACATGCCATTACATGGATATATATGTATACGGTAAGGACGTTGATTTCATATAGCATTCCAAACATCTGAACTGGTAAGCACATTTTTCCTCCCGATTTTCATATAATAAATGGCCAATGGAAAGCTTACCATCTTATAGTTAACGACAAATATTACTGCGTTAATTCTCAATGGATTGTTTTATTTTAATTTTTTCAGAAAAGTCGTGTATGAGTGGCAATTCAGTGTATTGGACAATATGGTAGTTGTTAGTGGATACTGCCCCATGCTTCGAAGATCTAGAAACATTGAGTGCAGCTTCTCCAAATCATTGTGTATGCTTTTCTGCCATTGTTCATTTTGATTTTAAAAGAAAATTTTCATCATTTGTAATCTTAGAATATTTTGCAACTTATTAGAGGAACTTAGTATCAAGAATGCACCAAACATGGCTCCTTATCTCCATTTAGTTGCTAGCGATTTGACACACTCGTTGAACATGTGAGAACACGCAGGCAGGTAAGCAACTACCTTTTGGTTATTGTTCATTTTAGTTTTATGCCTAAATTTTATGTGAGAGGGGTACCTATGTTTTGTTCTCATCTTTGGTTTTCAGGTAGACAGATTCTTGTGTAGTTTGTTTGGGGAGGCTGCATTATTAACACTTCAAGTTTGAGAAAAGACTCTTGAAAATGGTTGGTTTCTATAGCATGCTGCATGTTTTGTGTGTGTTTATGTTTGTGTTTGTCTTTTTCACATTTTACTTTCATTTATAGCATATTACACTTAAATCATGGTCCTAATCTATTTCAAGGTGAGAAGTGGGATCCTGAAAAACTGAGTAGAGAAAGAGAAACTTGAAAGGCAACAAAGTTTACTTGTAATTCTGACATTAGTGTTTGTTCTATGATTTGCCTGTTTCCTAATTTGTTTGTATAAATCTCAACGTGCCTCTATTTTCCTCATTAGAAAAAAGCTTGATTGCAATTAGTGTAGTGTGACATTATAATCTTTTGTGTTACCTGTTCAAGATTATTTGTTGGAAAGAGTTTATGTCATCTCAGGATATTATTTTATCATAAGAAAGCTCTTTTCACAAATCACAATAAGGAATGAATCTCATAACGCTTATGCAATTTAATTTTTTTTTTGGAAACCATCTCTTTTCTGGATATTGTGGATTGATTAAATAGTTTCTTTCGCGTCAAATATTGTTGAAATAGATTTATTTAACATCTTCGATCTTAGCTTCTTTATCCTTTTTTTTTTGGAATTATTAATCTCAACTTCAACTGAGAGAGGGAAAGTGGTTGACAAAGTTCATTTCATGGAAAATACTCTATCAACCAATTCAGTGCAACTGTTATATGAGTCGATGGGAGTTTTATACTTCTATTTATTTTCTTCCTTTTCTCGGATTTATTTTATTTCGTTGTATTGATGTATGTTTATTTGTTCTATTTAAAACTTGAGTTTGACATTTTCGTTTTCATTTTCATCTTTTATTGTAGGAAATTTCAGCAACTAGCTGTAAGTGCTTGTAATTTTTGTAGCAATGATATGTTGTCTTTCAATGTCTAAAGCAATTTGAGTTAATATTTGTTAAACTATATGAGAGGACAAATTAAAATACTAGATTTAAATCACTATTTGATTTCTTTCATTGATCTGCCCATTTTCATGGTAATTTCTCAACAGTTGATCTATTTTATTTTTAAAAAGTTCTTTGGTAACTTACCGTGGCAAAGGATTTGATTATCCTAGATGTCTCCTTTTTTTTCCCTTTTTATTTTCAATGGGTTCGTTATTGAGTTAGTGTATACAAAAGATTGGATTTCACGGATCAATCGAATTGACGGATTTCGTAAACACCCCTAGTCAGTTCAATTGAAGATGGAAGGGATTTAGAGCAATTCTAGTCATACTAAACATTTCATACTTTTAGCCAAAATAGTTAATAATTTAGCTTTTTTTAATAAAAAAAAAACTTTTTTCCACCCCCACCATTAGCTAAATTGTTAGTTTTTTTTAAAAAAAAATGATTAGCTATTTTAGATAACGTCTTTGACATTAAATAAATATAACTAGCGTGGAGATAATAGCTATTTTATTTTTTATTTTACTTTATTTTCAACCATAATAAGTGCAAAGTTTTTTTTTTGGTTAATTCAACAAAATTATTTGTATTTTAAATTTACTAAATATTAAAATAATTTATAATTAGTTAAAATATGAATTATGATTAGAGTGATTAATTAAAAAATTACTAGATAAAATAGTATTTTAATCATTTTAATTAGAATTTAATTAAAAATTAGAAATGCTCTCAACGTATAACTCGATTAGAGATTACATTAACTGAATCTGGGAATGTAAATATTTATGCATCTAAACTAACCACAATCCACTGCACGCAAATGGTGCCACCACATCGTCTGCACGACATGTCTCTCTATCATGTAAACAAAACGTGGAATAATTTTCTCCACTTATTTATTAAAAAATAGTTAAATAAGTAAATATTTAAGGAAAATATCTGCAAGAATTTTGATTTTTCTTATTTAGTTAGCATGTTATTATCTGTCATTGGTTGTGATTTGTGAAGCTAAAGACCTCATTTTCTGAAGGAAAAAAAAAAAACTAATGACCTCATTTCTTGCGCTAATTTCAATTTTCAAATAAACCCACTACTACTGCAATGCCTTTGCAATTTTCTTTGCTTTTGGATGAGTCTATTAAATCCACTTCCTTTTCAAAATAGTTCATCGTATCCCAGTACTAGGAATTGGTCCCGTTTATTTCACTGATTCGAGTTTAGAATTCGATTTTTACTACAGTAAAAATTTTCACAAACAGTTACATTTAATTTTTTTGCTACAGTAAAAAGCTCTCACATAAAATCACATCTCAACTCGAATTAAAAACTCAAATCAACGAACTAAACGGGCATAAAAGACAATCCCTCATCTATCAAGTTGGAGATCAAGTTGGAGAAAACAACTACAAAACGCTTTGTTGTTTCTCCAATTTTTCACGAATTGTCACGAGTAAACAACGTCAAACCTATTTTTGTTTTAGGAAAAAAAAAAAAAGGGTACAAACTATTTTACCTTTTCTCCAATGTTACGTAACAAAAGGGAAAACATAAGGTCGTAAAGTTATGAAAATAACAAAATGTATAAGGAAAGGAATAGTTATGCTAACTTAAGATAGAATATACTTCTATGTAATGCAGGCGAATATATAAATGTATATACAAAAAACATCGAAATAGAAGAAAAGATGCAATCTACTTCTGTATAGTGCAAGAAAAAGATACAATATACAGCTTGGAAATGGGAAAAAGTTCTTAACATACAATATATTTCTATATGTTGCAAGCCAAAAAAAAAAAAAAAAAAAGAAAGAAAGAAAGAAAGAAAGGAAGGAAGATAAAATATACTTCTAGAAAATGAGGAAGAAAAACCTAAGACACAAATATACTTCTATACATTGCAAGCAAAAATGAAAAAGATACAATACACTTCTAGGAAGAGGGGGAAAATTTTAAGATATAATAAACGTGTAGGAGAGAATGAAGTCCTAATTTTTTGCTGAATAGAATGAAGTTCTAATTTAATATTAGCTTCTCGACAACAAAACAAAACTAGATTACACAAATTATATACAAAATGATTAAAGAATTGTTATTTTATTACAACAAATTGAATTGAGAAAAAGACAAAAACCAAAAGTATATTGAGTAATGATAGAAGCCTTAATACTTATCCTAATATGATAAGTGAATTGCTATGGACTAATTGGTGGATGCTAAGGAACGAAGAATAACTTATCAAATAAGTTGCCATTAAATATTGATATAAAAATTAAGATGCTTAAGTAACATTATTCAAAATCCCTTGGCCATTAAAGGTGACCCAAATGAGACTTATTTTTCTCAGCAAACATAATGAGAATGAGAAGAGGAGAAATGAAAAAAAAAAAAAAAAAGTAAAAAGAAGAAGAATTAAAAGGGAAGGTCGTTCTCATGTCCAACTTGAAAGGAAAGGAGAACGATCATAAATATTCATTTTTGGTTTAAAGCCAAACAACACAACAAAAGAATTTACCCAAAAAAAAAAAAAAAAAAACCAACACAACAAAAGAAGAAGAGAGAGAAGGAATTAAGCCCAAATCGAACTCATAACTCATTAGCCATTTCTCACAAACCAGCACGTGCGCTCCCGCCTCTCTCTCTCTAAACGCTTCGCTCATTCTTTTTTCCTCGAGAGAGAGGAGTGGACTGGAGATCTTCTCCATCGCCATATGACGTAGGCGATTCCTCCAGCCACCCACAAATGCACGCGTACAACCGGCTGCCGAGCAGTGGCCACACGACACCGTCTCCGCCGCCGTCGCCGCTCCGGTCGCCGCGGCTCCGGCACGGGCGGTCGAAGACCGGTGGCCGGTTCAACCCATCGGGAAGGACGACGCTGGTGCAGCGGCTGACATGGCACATCCTCTCGGTGCTGATCCGGCGACAAGGCGTCTTTCTCTTCGCCCCTCTGTTGTACATCTCCGGCATGCTTCTCTACATGGGCTCCGTCTCCTTCGACGTCGTCCCCATCATCCACCACCGCCCCGCCCCCGGCTCCGTCTACCGCAGTCCCCACTTCTACTCCAAGCTCCGCCCCGAGATGGACGCCGATAACTCCTCCACCGATGCGGTTCGTCATCTTCTCTTTCTCTCCATTTCGAGTTTCGTATTTCTTCAATTTCGATTTCAATTTCGCCGAATGAGAAACTGGAATGCGGTGTTTGCTTTTAGTTCTAGATTCTTTACGCGTTTTTTGATTCAAATTTTGCGTGAATTGCGTTCGATTAATGTTAAAAGTTAATCCTTGAATCAAGATTTCTTGTTACGATTAGAGATCTTCTTCGTTTCTGAACCTTTTTATCGGATTGATCTTGTTTCGTTTGGGTTTTTGGGGAATGAAACGAATCATGAAATCCGAAAAAGTGCTTCTCTTTTTGTTACTGTGTACTTGGCGCGTCAACTTTCTGAGCTTTTTAGTTTGTTTTTTAATGGAAAAGAGAAGCAGAAGAAAGGAATGATTTTGAAGCATATCCTTCTCTTTACCATTACTCATTCTGGGTCCAGATGCAAAGGCTGAAGGGAATTGAGAAAATATTTTTATTGAATAAAGCATAAAAGCATATCAAAGTTGGCATTTCTAAGTGCGGAAATTCAAGTTGTTAAAGTTGGCATATGAATTTGAATAAGGAAATAATGCCCATCTGGTGGCTGCTTGGTATAAAAAATTAATGGAATGCATTGGAGAGCTTGGTTTCTATGATTTATTGAATCCAGATAATAAAAATCCACTACAATTTATGTAGAAGAAAGAATAGTGATTGGTGATTTATCAATTGATTCGTATTCAATAGAACAGCCTTTTTAAGGGGAGAGAGCTACTAATTTGGTGAGAGCCGGTGCTGAATAAAAGAAATGTAAAAAATATGCCATCTTTAGCATAATTTTCATCTACTGGATGATATTTACCTGTCTTCTGTCGATTCGTCTTGTGAAGTACAATCAGTTGACTATTTGTGCAAATTTTAAGCTCGGACCATTTTGGTTATTTTTCTGGTCATAGCCAAGTATTTCTGATCCAGTTGCTGAACTGTATCATTATTATACTCACATTATCGGTTCCTTTCAGTGTTCAAACTTCAAAGATTGAGTGTTGACATGAGGTCTTATAATAATGTTCATCCGTCATGTCTTTTTTTTTTGGCTTATTGCTAGGTTAAGGTTATTTTTATAGTTCTTTGATTGATTGATGTAATTTACATCCAAAGTTATCGCCCTCTCTCTAGCTATTAACTTACATAAGCTTGGAAGTTTACTGCAGATATTAACTATATGGAAACATTCCTATAAAGGTGGTGAATGGAAACCATGTACAAACACTTTTTCTGGAGGTACGAGTTATTTCCATTTTTTGCTAGTTGGGAAAAATTGTAACAGTCTTTTGTTGTTTCTGTCTGTTTATTGAATTTTTCCTCACAATTACATCCTTTCTTTTATGGGTGGAAACCTTCTGGCTACAGTACTATTTCTGGTTCACATCGAACTTCATTTTAACTCTTCGCGAGTCTTCAAACCGGACCAGTTGTAGTAATCACTGTTTTACTCTAGTTGCTGCATTTATGCCATCTTGACTGTGGGTTCCACAAGTACAAGGGTGATTAACACATTCTTAGGATGCATTACTAATTTAAGAACTCTTCTACTTCAAAATATCCATTGGAACTTCTGATATCGTAGTAATTTAGTTAATTTAGTTCTCCCCGATGTGACATTCTGAAGATACTGCATTCATGTTAACGTTTTTTCCTTAAGACTTGAACCTTCCTCTGCTGTTCATATGTATGAGTGCTCATATGCAAAAACATTAGCGGGCTGTTCTTATTATATAGTGAGTAGTTGCTACGCTATATCTGTTACACATGCTATTGGAATCTGAACATGTGGTTTGCGTGTTTGTCATGGTATTTATTGTAAGTAGTTTCTGTGCTATTATTGCAGGTTTGCCTAATTCAAATGGTTACATATATGTTGAGGCAAATGGTGGCCTAAATCAGCAGAGGACTTCGGTTAGTTTTGTTGCTCAGTTGTCAATCTTGTTGCCACCACTTTTACTGTCTCTGTTTTTGATTAATCATGTAATAGTTCTTTTGACTATAGGTTGTTATTCTTGAATTGTAGATATGCAATGCTGTTGCAGTAGCGGGTTATCTTAATGCTACACTTGTTATTCCCAACTTTCATTATCACAGCATCTGGAGAGATCCTAGGTTTGTTGATGCTTATTTCTTCAAAAGTTTATTTGTAGGACTAATGCTGCCCATGTGATAACGCACGGAAAGAAGAATAAATACTCTAAATATTTACCCCTTAGTCCTTGCTAGTCTAATATGTTTGTAAATTTGAACATGCCTCGCAATGTTAATCTTTTATTAGGGAGTGCTCTAGTTCACATCTTACATTTCTTACTTTGGGATTTATTTTGCAAATTCTGCGACCAGTGATTCTAATATATAAATAAACTATGTATTGCCCCTTGTCCGTGATAATATTCTCTAAATGAAGATATTGGTCTATTCTCTTGTTTATGGTCTTATTTACGAAAATGCTGGTAGGGTTCTTTGCATTAATAATATTATAAGTTGGTTTCTTGACTGGCTCCCTGAACCAACCTATGCAGTATCTATTGGTTAAATACGATCGTGGGGATCTGTTTCCCAAGAGTTAGATAATGTCAGGATGCTGAATGAGAGTGGGTTCCTGTTCTCTTTTTAATAAATTCTTTTGGAAAATAATGATGAGGCTAAGGAGACGTAGTATTGCAAGTTTACATCTCTCGTATATTCTCTAGCTTTCTATCTTATAGTTTGGTTTTGAATAATTCTCTGCATACTTGCTCACTGTTTGCTGATATTTTTTAACTTTGTAGTTGTTTATTCAATAACAAATTGTTAGTTGTACATGGTGTTTCTGACTTTGGGCTTACTTGTCCAGCAAATTTAAAGACATTTATGACGAAGATTATTTCATCAGTACCTTGAAAAATGATGTGCGGGTGGTTAATAAGATTCCAGAATATATAATGGAGAGATTTGACAACAATATGAGCAATGTTTACAACTTTAGGATAAAGGCTTGGGCATCTGTTCAGTATTATGGAGATGCAGTTCTCCCAAGATTGCTTGAAGAAAGGTAAGCTTACACATCAACTGGTTCTTTTTTCCTTTTTCTATTTTAGTTTTGTTTGCATCCTTGATGTTTACTTGTGATTGGATATATGCTAAATTATGAAACTTTGGTAACTGTAATATGATCTGATAGTGACTTTATGCAGCATGGGGGATTTTTTTTTTTTTTTTTTCCTTTCTTCATCGACTCTCTCTCTCAAAACATCTGATTAGATAGAAACTAGTAAGGGGGGAAAATGTCAAATGGAAAATCTCTCATTATTCAACATTGCTACATGGCCAATGTTAGAAGATTGGCATTGTGTCTATCTACTTATATTTGTTTTGATTTTTGAGTATATGACGTTTAGTGTAGTTTTATTAAATGAAATATCTTTGGAAATATACAGGATCATTCGGATTTCCCCTTTTGCAAATCGATTGTCATTTGATGCTCCTCCTGCTGTTCAATGGCTTAGATGCTTAGCTAATTATGAAGCTCTTAGGTTTTCAAGTCATATATTAACACTGGGAGATGCTTTGGTGGCAAGGATGAAAGAACGCAGTGCTAAATATGGTGGCAAGTACATTTCTGTGCATCTTCGCTTTGAGGAGGTTAGATTCAATTGGAAAGAAGTGTGGTTGTGCAATTTTCTCTTTGATATCGTCCAGCAAGGAGATTATCATCTTTGTATTTTAGTAGCAAGCAAAGTAGTATTCCTCTTTGTGCAGGATATGGTTGCTTTCTCTTGTTGCATTTTTGATGGTGGGGAGCAAGAAAAGGAAGATATGGAAGCTGCAAGGGAAAGAGGTTGGAAGGGGAAATTTACAAAACCTGGTCGAGTTATACGCCCTGGAGCAATCAGAATCAATGGCAAATGTCCACTTACTCCTTTGGAGGTATTATCTATTGTTCATCTTCCTAATTAAAAGACAGGAAAAGGATGTAGCTTTCACTCTACTCTTCCTGTGGGAAAAGTACCTTGAGATATGGGAAATAGATATTTCATTTGGGAGTTATGTGGATGTGCTGGTCCGAATCTGATCATGTATATAATTCCTTATTTTATGAAGAGCTTTATGAGCTTTCTAAACTTCTTCTGTAATGTACAGATATCAACAGATCAGCTCATTATTATTATTATTATTTTTTCAATTTTCTCATTAGGTTGGTTTAATGCTTCGGGGAATGGGCTTTGATAAAAGCACATTCATCTATTTGGCATCCGGTAAGATATACAATGCTGAGAAAACAATGGCGCCACTGTTGGAAATGTTCCCTAATCTGCAGACGAAAGAGATGCTGGCTTCAGAGGAAGAACTCGCTCCATTCAAGGTCTGAATGATGTGCGGTTATTTGTATTTCTTCCCAATTTGAAAGCGTGACAATGACATTATGCAAATCTTCTGATTTAAATTTCTGCTACTAGAATTATTCTTCCAGGATGGCTGCTATAGATTACACAGTTTGTCTTCACAGTGAGGTGTTTGTGACAACTCAAGGTGGGAACTTTCCTCATTTTCTGATGGGCCACCGGAGATACTTGTATGGTGGACACTCCAAGACGATCAGGCCTGACAAACGAAAGTTAGCATTGCTCTTTGATAATCCAAATATTGGGTACGTAACTGCTAGCTCTTTTCTTGCAAATACGTATTCTATGGAGTCAAATGATTGCAGAGAGTCAATTTGCTAAATTTTATGGAGTAAAGTTACGCTTGCAAGATCTAGCCAAAACTGGCGAAAAAGAAAAATGGGGCAACCCAACAGGAATTTGGGGTCAATATGGAGTTGAAAAAGGTCACAATTATATTACTTATACATACATACATACACACACACATATATATATATATATATATATATAAGAACAGTTATATTTGTCCGTATCCAACATTTAGAATTACAACTCTCCTTTTTGTGCGTTTGTGTGTGTACCTTCTTATTCTTATTCTTAGCATTGTTCTTATTATTATTATCATCATCATCATCATCATCATTATTATTAATTATTATTATTATTATTATTATTTCCAAAATGAGTAATGGTCCCGAATATATTAAAAGTTAAATTGACTTTTGAGTGGAAGTCCAGCAACTAAATTTAATTTCTGTAGACTCATAATTGCCATCTTTAATAAAAAAATATGCAACTGGCAATTTCGGTTTATCATTTCATTCTGCCTTTATTTTGTGTGATATAGAAGAAGTAACATAATTGGATTGATTCTTTTCCTTTCCTTCCAGATGGAAAAGTTTCAAGCGCCAAATGCTGGGTATCCGGTCTCACAGTGATTTAAAGGGGTTTGAGCTCAAAAGGCCGAATGACTCCATTTATACCTTTCCTTGCCCAGATTGCATGTGCCGAATAAACAAGACAGAAGATTCGAAACCATCGTCACTGACTTGATTTAACATGAAGATTCTTTGATGGGTGTTCCTTGTACCTGTAGTTTTGATCCTGCTACTGACCCTCTTTTCTGTTCGGCATTCTTTCATTTTTTTGTGCCCCTGTCCATTGGCGGAGAGGGCATACCACACCCTCAATTTTGGGAGCTACGAGGATTTTGTTCGAGATGTCATATTGATCTGATTTGTTTCCTGGGATCGAATTGTGGGGCAGTTCCATCACTCTCTGTATATGAAGATACTGGTGGAGAACAGAGCAACTTGCCATCTTTCAATTTCAGGAGTTTCCCAGTGTTGACTGCGCAATTGTTTTGTATATGAAGTCGCAGCTACTGTATCTAACAAGCTGTGAATTGACACATCACATTTCTTCACACTCTGGTTTTCTGATGTCTATAGATTTAGTTGGAGTGAGTTTGTTATTCTGCTCATCCAAGTAGAATCTAAAGTTGGAACTTTGTATACATTTATACTCGGTCTCAGGGTATTCATTCTTTTCTTCCTATTTTTGACTCCATTTTTTGTACACTTCTTACTCTTTACGTCTACAATCTTATGGTTACATTTATTAGTGCTACTCACTATATTCGTCTTACTCGGCGATACAAACATTACTTTTGTGATTTTTGGGTCATTTGAATGTAAAGTATGGCATTGACTGGCGCCATTTAGGTTTCCAATATGTGATCTTTTTCTTCGTTGTGTGATTGTCTTGTTATGGTTCTTCCTTATTTTATTTTATTTTTTATAGTATGGTTCTTCCTATTTTTGGCTTTTTGTTTAGAAAATGTGCTTTTATTTTGTATTGAATGTGCCTTGATCCCAAAGTAACCACCTCCTTTGCTTCTCTCTCCTCTTAAATCATCTATTTTATCAAGAGTAGCACACGTTTCAAAAAAAAAAAAAAAGTGTACTTTCAAAAAGAAAAAAACATATATATTGCCTACTTTAAGATCAGTTTCAGCAGATTCGGCACGTGGAATAAAATATATAATGCCTAGCAAATGAGTAACTATTCAATTCACTCTAAACTGGGGAAAAATTACTCGCATTCATGCTTGAAATGCAATAAGTAAATTATAAAAAATTTGATTCGAAAAAATTAGTAAAAACTTTTGACAACTGAATAGTTCAAAAAAAAAAAAAAAACAAGAAGAAAAACTTTGCAAGTTTTTTCAGTTCACTTTCTTGATTAAGGTAGCTTCGTTGTTTTATTGAGGTAGCTTTAACAGATCAATCGTTGTTTCGTAGAAAATTATTAGTAGTTCAAACCCCACACTTTGGTTTTTTTTGTTGTTTTTTTAAATATAATTAGTTATAAGCACGCGCCTCCCGAGTGTATTATTTACATTTTCATATGAAAATATAAAATTTTTTCTAATAATTAGTTGTATTTATTTATTATTTATTTAATAATTGAGTTTAGTACAAAAGGAAAAAAAATTTAGTAGTGCGATTACAAAGAAAAAATCGTCACATAATAAATTATTTATGAGATACATATAAAATGAATTATTTTAAATGGAGTTAAGACTAGAGTGAGAAAAGAAAATCATAGAGGTATTTTGTAAGAAGATTAAATTACAAAAGAGCATTTGGTAAAAGACTAAAAGAACTCTAAAGAAAAAAGCAAAAAAAGATTAGAAAAAAAAGTAAAAATAAACAAAAGAAAAATTAGAAATAATATAATGTAAAAAGTAAAAATAACACTATGTTTGGTATGATAGAAAAGTGAAAGGAAGAAAGTGAGTAGAATGATTGTTAGATGGAAAATGATAGAATTAGTTGTTTGGTAAGAAGAAAGAGAGGAGAGAAAAGAAAATAGGATGAAAAAAAATTTTAATGGGGCCTACTATTTTTATCTCTCTAATATTGGGAGGAAAACTCAAATCCACTTATTGAGGACTAAATTTACTTTTGTGTCCTTATTTTAAAATCTAAATTAATATTAAACAATTGATAAAATAGTCATTTAGGCTATTCTATGTTTTTTTATCTCATTATACCAAACACTATAAAAAAAAATTAACTTCATTCATTACCTTCACATTTTTTTTTTAATGTGTTTTCTTTATTTTTTAAAAGAGAGAAATAAAAGATTGACATGTGATAAAAAGGAGCAATATGTTTACATTTTTTAAATAGCTAATGGTCAAACACATTAATCACCCAATAAAAAAATAATAGTAATCACCTTTTGTTCGTATAAAAAAAAAAAAAATCATAATTTATTAATTAAATTTTGAACAAAAATTTAAATTTGAAAAAAAAAGCTATAGTACTTCGAACGGTGAAAAAAAAGGCATGATATTCGTTTGATTTTAAAAGCCTCAAAACACAATAAATAGCACCATATCATATTCGCCTCCAAAACTTTTGACTCATTTGAAGTTGATCATCATCGCAGCGTCATGGGTATTGTTGGAAATCTCAGTCCAGCTCAGCTCCAATCCTTCGAAACCGATGGTAAACTACTTCTCAATTCGTCTTAAAGTTTCCAACTATTTTCAAAATCTTAATTGTTAATGTCAGCAGAAACGAAAGCTTGAAAAAACCATTTTTCCCCATTTTTTCTGTTTGGTGATTGTTCGACGAACTTTGAAAAGGGTATATTGTGATGGAATCGTTTGCAAGCGGCGAGGAAATCGAGAGGATGAGGAAGAGAATGGAACAGTTGCTGGACGAGTTCGATTGCTCTTCCACGGCCTCTATTTTCTCTACCAAAAACCAGGTTTTCACTTTTTTCTTTTTTCCTTTTTTTTTTTTGGTTATGGAAATTATGTTGCGGAAAATAATTATTTCTTATTCCCTTTCAGCAACACTCGACAGATCATTATTTCTTCGAGAGCGCCGAGAAAATTTCGTTTTTCTTTGAAGGTTTGGGGATAAATTGCGTCATTTGTAGTTTTTTTTTTTTTTTTTTCGATTTTTTTTATTTCATTGCCTTTTAAGAAGAAGAAGACATTCTGTGTATGTTTACATGAGTTGAGTCTTAAAGTACTTTTTGAAAATGAAAGCTGAACAAGAACCCAAATGGATATGCGAGGAGGAGTATCAATTTTTTTAGTACTTATTGGTGGTTTTTAGTTCAGCTACTTATTAAAGAAACGAAAAACTGATAAAAGGAAAAAAGAAGCAAAAACAGAAATTAGAGATGGGAAGCAGGAACTAAAATTATGGTGAGATTTGTTTATAGAGTTTGGTAGCTATTATTCTCAAGTGCTGCAGTGATGGGGTTGTGGAGGTCTTGATGTTTGCTATATTAAGATTCAACTTCGGAATATTCACTGAATTGCAATATCTTAGGTAAATTCTAGTTTACTTTCAGGCCGTGTTTACTTTGCATGAAAGAGAAAGGAAAAATGAAATGGAGGGGTGATTCTCATTTCCATTTAACTATGTAAATACTCTTTTTCTTTTTTGGTAATTTAATTATGTATTTCCTAACAATATTAGTAATGAGAGTTTCGTGGCCCCGCACAATATAGAGAATGAAAAAAGGGAATACTAGTCTTTGCCTGCATCCCCTTAGTATTGATTTCCAGTTAAAAAAGAATGAATGTTAAATTTACTTATATATCTTTAATAATCTAACATATTATTATCCGATGATTATTCAATTATGTGAAAGGATATTTTAGTAATTAGATTGATAAGATTTCTATTAAGTTTAGTAAACAATAGAGAGTGAGTCAGATTGTTTCCCGTTGTACCATCTAATAGATAAGTAAACAATAAAAAAGGAATCAACGATTCTCATTCTTATTAATGTACTTTACTTTTCACTCCCATTACCTATTCAATTACATTCTTTTATGGTGTAAACATGCCTTTATGGCTTTCTTTTTGAAACATTTGCGAATTATAAGCCTCTGTTTGTTTCACTGGTTTAGTTTAGTTTAACTCAGTTTGAACGGTGAGTATAGTTTGAACTCATGTTTGGTAAACACGCAGTTCGAATTATATTCCCCGTTTGAACTGGGTTAAACTGTCCAACTTAGAGTTAACTCCTCCTTAAAGTTCGACCGTTCAAACAATTTCTGAACAGTAAAAAAGTGTTCGCTCTCTCTACTTTTCACACTTTCCATACACAAATTCAAATTTTATTCCTTGTTCCAATTAAAATTTTAACTGCACATCCAAACACCAATTCAAACTACAATTTAAACCATACAGTTTGAATTTTTCTATTCAAATAAAAAGGTTCAAATAAATAAAATTCGAACTAGCAAAACAATGGGGGCTTATTTTTTGGAACTTCTGAAAGGGCCTGGTTTTTGTATTATTCTACTTACAGTTTCCACTTGTTATCTTTGGCAGAGAAAGCTTTTGGGGAAGATGGAAACTTGAAGCAACCGAAGGAACTTTCTATTAACAAAGTTGGACATGGTAATTCCTTGTCTATGGAGTGATTTTCTTCTTTTCATTCGGTGTTTATTATCATATTTTAACATTTTTATACGTACTCTGTATTTTTAGGGAAACTAATAATTGTCGTACATTATGCAGCATTACATGTGCTTGATCCAGTATTTAAAAGCTTCTCTGACTCCGATAAAGTATGCAGCATGTTGGTTTCCTTGGGTTACAAGAGACCAATTGTGATTCAGTCTATGTACATATTTAAGGTATTTTTTCTTCTTCTTCAAGATTTAGTAAATTCTGGACATTTTCTATATGACGTACATGTCTTATGATTTTTGGCGTATGAAGTAACCTGCAAAGATCTCATGAATTGGCAGCAACCAGGTATTGGGGGTGAGGTAGTGCCACATCAGGATAACTCTTTTCTGTATACTGAACCAACAACATGCACAGGGCTATGGCTGGCCCTAGAAGATGCAACGATCACGAACGGCTGTCTCTGGGCTATTCCTGGATCTCAAAAAAGTATTTCACACTTCCCTCTAATTTCTTTTCATGTACAATTTATTGGGGGTTGCCAAACTTCTTTTCCTATTCTAGGACAGGCGATTAACGATTGCAGTATCCATTAAAGAGGGTTTGGATAGTTTTACTGTATGTTTTGTTGTTTGCAGATGGCCTTGTCAGACGGTTCATTAGAGGTGAAAATGGGGTGACCTTTGATCGGCCTTCCCCAAATTATGATCAGAAAGATTTTGTGCCCATTGAAGTTAAAGCCGGTTCTTTGGTTGTCATTCATGGTGATCTTATTCATCAAAGGTCAGTTCATACCATTCCTTTTTTATGATTAAACAGGCATACAAATGATTTCTCCTTAGCTGAATCGCCTGAAATGCGTCCTAAATTTTGTTGCTCTTTTTCATTAATGGACTACAGTTGTGAGAATCAATCTTCAAAATCAAGGCATGCGTACAGTCTGCACATGGTAGATACAGAGGGCTGCAAATGGGCTGAAGATAATTGGTAAACACATTACAAGTTCTACGAGTTTTACCTTATTTCTATTTAAGAGTATCTTGTACAGTGTTATTTCTGGCTTTGCTAAGTATAGAAAAACTGAACTAAATTTTTTTTGACTTCTTAGATTTATATGTGCTCTCTTTTTGGCTCTGTGAATCTGGAAAATATATGTACCAGGTCTCTGAGGATCTTATTGAACTGTACATAAACTTCTTTCTGACGGGTGAGCTAGGACAATCCATTGAAGTGTTGCTGTTTACCTATTATAAACTTGAAATGGGCATTACTTAGGAAAAAAAATGGCTAAAATGTTAAATTGTGGGGTCTGGGAAATCACATAAACAGCTAAATCTTTGGTGTAAGAAATAAACAGCTTAACGTTTTGGTCTTACTTAGAGTTAGGTGAATGTAACTCAATTGTGCAATGCAGTGTGATGTAAACTCAAGGACATGAAAGATTAGCAAAAAAAAAAAAAAAAAAAAAAAAAAAACCCCCTCAAGGACATGGAAAAAAAAAAAAACTCTCAAGGACATGGGGGAAAAAAAAAACTCTCAAGGACATGGAAAAAAATAAAAAAGAAAAAAGAAAAAACCCCTCGAGGAAATGGAGGAAAATTAGTTAGTGGGCAACACATTTTTCCTCATAATCTCTAAAGAAATAAAGCATGTCTTTCTGTTGCTTGTTTCGCGGGTAAACTAAGTAGCTTACATTACCTTCCAAACACTAGAATGGTCAAGTGGTATTACTTGCCGTTAAAAAAAATTTGATCGTACTTCCTGGTGAGAGGAAAAATGCTGATCATTCTCTTCTATGAAGTGATCAATGCAAGAGCTATGTCTCTTTTATTGAGAGGAAGTTAAAAAACGGGTTAGCTAGGTTGATAGACCTTAAACCTAACTAGTCTTGTTATCATGACCTTAAATCTACTTTATGTTTAACAATGTTATTTTGTATTGAAATGTTCTTTTAGGATCAGGCAAAAAGTAGAGCCAACGCCTCTTTATGGATCTTAATATGACCCGAGAGCAAGATGCATAGTTTGGTGGGGTGCTGCTATGGGAAACTTAAGTCTCAAGTTGAGAGATTCTCTGCCATGCTCATATGAAGATTCTTACGTTGAGAGCTCATCTATAGTTTATGGATTTTATCTTACTTTTTTCTTGTTCCAAATAAGAGCACCAGTTAAAAAAAAAAAGGAAAAAAAAAAGAATAAGTTTGTCATAACTGGATGTCTTAAATAGTTTCCTTGTCTAATAAAATGTCCAGGTTAAGTATTTCTATTGTCATTATTTTCTCTCTTGGATTGGTTTAAACTGTTTGAGTGTGATTTACGGACCTAAAAGGCAGAAAGACAAAGATAACAAAAAAAAAAAAAATTAAAAATCGCTTAGCTGAGCTATACTATACGGCTTAATAATGTTGTTTCTCTACCCCTTGATTTTTTATTTTTTTTTTCCCAGGACGACTATTGAATTCCAGTTAAGTAGTTTAGCAGAAAAGGATCTAGTAAAAGCAGCAACTCTAGTTAGAAACTAACCCTTTTAAGCTTAACAAAAATGTTACTGAAGTCTTCTATTTATTTAAATTCTTTATACTTATTTTGCATTTTTATAATGCACGCATGACATGAAAAGAAAATATTAAAATTACATAGCAACCCAAAACAAAGGACCTTATAATAATTACTACACTTAAATTTTTGTTGGAAGGCATAATCACTAGTACTCTATTTGCTCAAGTCAGTTCTTCAAAGTTAGAAACTCAAAGAAAGGTCTTGTTTGAAGTCAGAATCTCTTGTCATGGAAGAAATTTTTGGAGCCTGATCTTTACTCTGACTACCCTTAAGATTGTCACTCAGAAGAGGAAATAGCTCAAGAGTTGTAGTGGTAGTTTCTCCACTAATTCCATTCCCAAAACTGGTGAAACCTTCTTTGCTGTTGGGCATTAAAGATGCATTGTAATCTTGAGTTTTCTCCAATAACTTTTCATCAAATGTCACCGAAATTACTGTGGATCTGGTCCTCTTGAGGTCATTATTGTAAGAGGGAAAAGTATAGGACATTTCCATAGGTTTCCATGAGGCATGCTTTTCTTGTGTGTTCTTTATTAGTTGCGACTCTTTCTCCTCAAATGCAACCAACTTGTTTGTACGTCTCTCAGCTATTGTCACTCTAGGCATTGAATTAACAGATTCCTGAAAATTACAAGTGATAAAAAGCATATAGTAAACCCACACAAGATCCGAAAAAATTGGAATTTCTTGCTAGACAGCCCCAACAGAAAGCAAATACTAGTGCAGCTTTTGAACCTCTACTTTTCCCAACATTTTAAAAGCTTCTGTCCCTTTCTTGTAATTTGAATTCTCTCTCTTAATTGGTGTTTTGACTATTGTATGATATCATGACATGGTTTTTAATTCCCCAACAATGTCGTGTATTATCATTGCTTCTTAAAAAACTACATAATTTTATATGGCAAAATTTAATTAATTAAAAATGAATCACTCGCGTGTTCTTAAAAATATATTAGAAGATTTCTATACTAGAAAGTAGAACTTAGATAAATGATCTGCAGATTTTTATTTTTCAGCCTTCAGATCAACAGAAATTGTATGTGCTATATATTTTTTTTATTTTGATGACCAGCTCTAAAAGTAAGAAATGTACACTATCAATAGCACGTTTCACCGTAGAAAGACCCAATATATTAATATATAAATTTTAGAAGACAGATTATGGGAACGCATATAGTTTTATGTGACAAAACAGGACCGATATTGGTGATGCTTAGCATTCTTTCTTACAGTAACTTTTATGTCTGATCTGTTGGGCTAAAGTAGAATATAACTGTAATGCATACAAACCATACAAATAAGAAATTAGATGAGATGCTGTATGCACAATACATATTATACCTCTGAAATTCTGCTGTAGTTTGAGAGAGGTTCCCGTTTTGTCGGCTCAACTTCAAGACCTGTCACTCTCGGTCCTGAACACAAAACTGCAAAGCAAAAGTGTATCCCAAGTGCTATTACAACACAACAGATATTCAATTCAAGAAGGTTGTGACAAAAGTACCACGGTCCGTAAAAAGAAATGTTTAGTAACAAATATGCATCCTAATTTTCTATTGTAGTTACGAACAACTGAAATATCGTTTCTTACAAATTTTAAATTTCCAAAGGAGAAGACAATTCAAATATTTTTACAGAACATATGGATATATATCATATCAGCATTAGCCATATCTCCAGCTCTTTCTAAAAATTGATTTTAACAGAAAAAATTATGTGTAAAATATATATTTTTAAAAAATTTAATTTACAAAATAACTTCTGAACCACCAGCGTAACCATTTTTTACACCGTGCGACCGGTTGTGTTGTTCAGTGTGAAAATGAAAAAGGTATTGATTTTTAATAATATGTGGGTTACTCTTCTGGCAAAACTGATTGCATAATTATATGTGCAGGCTTATGAACACATACAATAAGGTGCAGCACTATAATGTTTCAAGACTGAAACAAAGAAACTCGTATGAATATTCTTCTTGTAAGTACTATATTATGAACATATAGCTTTAAAATAACAGTTAAATAACTAACAGCTGCATAATAATCCTAATACTCAGAGACGCATGGAGCATATACAATATTATCGTGTAATTCTCCTGTAATTTTGTTCATTAATTACCTGATGTTTTAGTTCCGAGACTTTTGGAATAATCATACTGATGTCGTTCGATCTTTAGGCGACGAGACTGATCCACTTTGAGGCGCTGCTTCTTTTTGTCCCTTGCTTTGTGGTTCTGAAACCAGTAGAACACATTTTTGCCTTCAATCTTCCCGAACCGCCGGAGCTTCGCGGTGATCTCTTGGATCTGCTGCGCTGTCGGAGTTCGCGTCCCCCGTCGGTACAGCTCTTGCAGCGCCATCAACTGCTCCGGTGTTGGACTCCACCGTGTGCTTTGTAATGGCACTACTTGTGCAATATTGAGGTCCTTTTTTCGACGTTGCTCAGTAATATTCACAATACTACTATTATTATTATCTGAAACAATGTACTAAAGCAACTTACCAACAAAAAGGAAGAAGAAGAAGAAGAAGCTGCAAATGTGAAAAATATAAGGTATTACCTTGAGCACTACTCTTAGCACTGCAATCAGTTACCGGGGTTGCTTGATAAACGACGGTCGTTTTGACAGGACTGTAAGTAATTAGAGGGCGAAGCTTGAGGTCTTTGAACGAGCTTCGCGGCTTAAGTTGATTTCCATGATCAGCAGTACTACAACCCATCATCCACATTTTACACCGAGCAAACGATTATTGGTATTACTAGCTAGTATTGATTCTATATATAATAAAATATAGTTCTCTCTCTCTCTCCCTCCGCAGAAGAATATAGACCGGGGGCAAAAGAATAGTGTTTTTGAGCAAGAGAGATGGGATGTAACAAGAAAATGATATGATAGTTTCTAGCTAGGTTTCAAATATTGGACATGGGAAACCGTAAAGCTAAAGGTACGGTTTTATAGGAGCTGGGTTGACCATTGCATACACGTGTGCATGATGCGAATAAGGAGAACATATATATTTATGTTGTAGTAAAAGATCTGTTTCGGAGTGATGTGATCGTACGGTGGCCTGGATTTCTGAGAGAGAATATCTCCGACAATGGTCAATATATAGAGAAGTGAAAAAACATAATTGTTGTTAACTCAAGTAATCATTCCTTCGAAAGCCACGCTAAAGTTAACTGATAGTGCTACCCAGTAGTGTTACACACTGTTATAAGTATACGGCTAAAAAGTTATTACTAAAGTTGTCACATATTGTTTGTTGCCTAAATTTTTCAGGGAACACTATCAAATATAATGGTATTTAAATTAAATACATGGGCGAAGTCTCTGGACTAGATAAAACGCCAATGTGGATAGTAAGTTGCATCATCAAAAATTGGAGGCCATATGTATATTATGCAATATTGGCCAAAGCATGATTGTGGCAAGTGGATTGAATGATAGGTATCATATGGGCGATAATTGCTATATTAAAATCAGTTAAGGACGATTAGAAAATGATTTGAGATATTAAAAAAACGTCCCCAATTAAGCCTTAATGAGTCCGATACTTTTAGAGCTACCGCATTTAAATATATATAGCTTTTTAAGCACAACTTATTAGACCTCATTATTTATGTAGTTAAGAATTGTCCCGTACATGTCCACTTTTTTGTAGTGAATAGTAATCGTACTAATTTCGTGACAAAGTGCATCGAGCATGTATTGCATGCGTGACAAGTAGGGTTAAAATAAGCTGCATATATAATGTGTATAAATGCATGGTTAGGTTGCACTGGCATATACCAAAATATGCGTCCAATTTAACTAGCTACCAGAAAATATAGTAAATATATACATAGTGTTTGGAGGTTGTGACTAATTATGTGTAGCGTTTGCGTGCATATATGAATTATGTATTAACCACAGACAATATTGCTGCATATGCTGCGGTGCCGTCCTCGGGGTTTGCCTTGTCCGTGTCGAGATTCCTTTATTTTTACGCGTATTTGGAAACCATATATTGCTTCATTCTCTACCTCTTTTGTTCCTAAATTTATATATAGGTCATTTCTTATCCATCTGTTCTCTTAATATTGTAAGTAGTTATGTTCCTGAATTCCAATAAGATCTCTAGGTACACTAAACTTTGTTTCCATACTTGGAAATGATCAATTCATTGTTACCAATATATATTATAGCCAGTATCAATTTATTTCGGCCATTTTGTATGTAATTGTAATAAGTTGCCTGTTATTTTTCTGTGTCTATGGTATATATATGATATGATGGCAGTATTCCAGTTTGTTAGATACTAACTGTGCATTCTAATTTAAATAATGCCCTTGCTAATTTCAGGATTAATTTCATAAATGTCCACTGAACTATGTACCCAGCTGAACATGCTCCCTGAACACTAAGAAGAGTTTATTTTCACTTTTGAATTGTAGTTCATGAGAGATTTATGAAATACAATTAGTGTCACATCACCATTCTATTAGTATTATAGATGGATCTATAAAGAATGAATGTTTTGATTGATTTTATATAGTTTAGGAGTGAAATGGTTCTTTTAAAAGTTTGAGAAGCATGTTAAATTAGAAAACATAATTCGGTAACATTTATGAAAATCCTAAACAATAACATCTCAAGTTTTTCACATCACTTAATGATGAAAATATGATGAGCAACTTATTTTTGGCAAGAAAAAGATATTTGGCAACTTATTAAGTAAGACCTATCCCTTAAAAAAAAAAACAAAAATAATAAAAACAAAAACCTGGCAATGCCAGTTGGCACATTACTCGTTATTGTTAATTAGCATTATTTTTCAGTATATGGGTGCAATCTTTTTTCATATTCAACTAGTTCGACTCCACGTACTATGCATGTGGGGAGTCATCACGTGGGGAATCATCCATATGTTAAATTTTAATTACAGTGTTAAAATAAAATATAATATGTGTATAGACAAGTATAGCATATTATTGATGAAACTATTTTGTTCATGTGAATCAAGTAGAAAATTACTTAGAGTGTACATAGGAAAAAAAAAAGCAAATAAGGATGTATTTGAAATATCAAAGGCTATATTTGTTAAACGTATATTTTAGAGGATTGAAATGAAAGTTTAGGAGAGAAGATAAAAGTTTGAACAGTAATTTGTGAGGTGTGCTACAGTAACATCATTCACATTTCTTATATAATTATAGTTATAGATGCAGTGTAAATAACAAACGAAACATATTTTCAGTTCTTAGTAAAGCAACACGATAACAGACACAACAAACACTCTAAAAGCATTTATATAATACCAAAAGCAAATATGGCTTGCGTGCATGTGTATGTGGTGCGTTAATAACACATTTAGAAGCAGTTGCCTCCTATTCTTATACATTATTAAAAAAAAAAAAAAAAAAAAGAAGCAGTTGACTAGCTATCTTCCTTTATAATTATATTATGTTTGAGAAGGAATTTTTTTTTTTGTTTTTTTTTTTCACCCATTTCATTACATAAAAATCGCTTCAATGTCAACTATAGGAATGAGACTAGAAAGCTCGATGTCGTGATCACACGAGGACACAAGGAATCTAGCCTCAAATTATATATGATAGCGTAAGCTAGAAACGACATCAATGACGCCCAGGTGTGTGTGTAATATTGTTGCGTGTTTAAAAGTGCAAGAACCGGGTAAAATAGTAGTGGACCAACCAGCTGTTTACAACCATATTCTTTACTTCTAGCTGACCTAGGGATCTGATCCCCGTTTACTCTATCCGCCTAAAGCCTTCGTTGGCATCTTTAATGTTGTGTTGTGTCTATCCAAGTGACTTGGATCTTTTTATATGATTCAAAAGAATGTTTGATGGGATTCGTGGGAACTAGCTTGTTCATATTCACATATATGTCGGATTTTAAACTTGCCAAAATATTGTTCTTATAACAAACTTTCTATACATTGGTGGGTTTTTAGCATCTTAAATGTTAGTGACATAAAAATATTTTTATATGTACACTTTGGGGTTGGGGGGTGGGCGCCAAAATCTTATTCTTAACAAACTGTCTATGCACGTAAACACAGCTGATAATGGCATTATATCTTTCATTGGCTTGCCACATATGGCTTAGATTGATGTGATTTTATTGCATGCTAGTTAATATAAGTATGAGTCAGGTTTCTTTCTGTTCCACTTATGGTCTTAATAGATTGTCAAGTAACAGTTGGGTTGAGAATGTGAGGAAACCGTTAGACTCTTTTCAACCAAAAAAAAAAAATTACCTAAGCATATTTGGTGGGCACGGAATCTTTAATGCTGGGTGGCTCGAAGTGATGAATTTTGATGGTGGTTAGAAATGAGAGCTTGGTTTTGGTATAATGGTATGTTCATACTATTTTGGAGACCAAACTTACCAAGATCTTATCTCATTGTATATAAACAAACTGTCTATGCAGACATGTTGGTGGGCTCGGCATATTTAAAGTTTGCATCTCTCAAAGTCTCAACGTGACATGGTTTTGATTGTGTTCAAAACTTATTCAGACATTTTGGTGATGCGTAAGTTCCCTAAATCTTACTCTTGCTGGGGTCTGCATGTTTAATGTTTTCTCCGGAACTGACATGAATCTTGATGATTATGGTGAGTACTTGATTTTTCGATACCAAACTTGCCAAAAAACTCTCATATCTACAATTTTGTTGCCAAAATCTAAGAATGGTTTTGTCCGATAAAATCTGATGATTTTTAAAGTGCGCTTCACCGAAAAACTGAGGTTCTGCTTCTACTTAAGATTTACATGTTGAGATTGCAATTAAGTATGTAGTTATCTCACCACATTAGTGATTCAAAAGGATTCCGCAACTAATTAATTACATTGCGAATTTTTCGAACATATATTGTACGTACATTACTGCATCTTAAGAAAAGTGGGTTGGACCCATATAATTGACCAATCAGCTCATCCAAAAGAATGAAACCTTCTCCTTTTCTCTATACTAACTAATGGTCATGACCGATGACCCCTACCTCCATCACAATTTTGATCTTTGGCTAGTTCTCTGGATAATCAGAAGATTATGAATATATTATATGTTGAAGCTTGAGTAACTACTCAAGAAGCTTATTGCAGGTTCCAACGCCAACAGCCGCAGCAAGATGCCATCCGGCGTGAAGAAATGGGGTTGTAGGAAACACGTCATCCGCGATGAAAAGCACGCCTCCGAGCAGCGATGACATCTTATGAACATTATGGGCCACTCTTAAATCTGGATCTTTCAATGCTCTTTTCGCAAAAGCTACCTGTAATCATTCAAATTTGAAATGGCTTATAGAGTTAGTTACGAGAGCATGAACTGAATATCTGCGGGTTACTTTTGAATAATTGAAAGTGGAAAGCACCCATTGTAGTCTACTCCTGAACAAAAAAGAGGTCCTAGAAAGACCAAGTAAACTATGAATCATTTAATAAACTATGATGGAGCAAATTCAGAATGAGAAAGGATTTGGAACTGAATACGATAATGTTTCAAGCGGTTGATTCAATCTTATCTGGAATTAGAATAGGAATCAATTTAATCCGTTCTTAGTATTTGAAGAATGGGAATCAGAAGGATTCCATTACTAAAATGTCGTTATGCATGAACGATGTTAGATTAGGTTAGGACTAACTAGGTAACTAAGGACGACTGAAGCGTTCTTGGTAATTATTGCGGGTGTAGAAGTAATCCTATAGTTTTTTTTTCACTTGAAGGGAAACAGGGCAACAAAGTTGAGAGAAAGTAAGCAGCCCTTCTATTCTCTTCACATTGACAACAGCTAAACATGACAGTAATTTCTTACTTTAAAGTATACTTTGTTTTGTTTGGAGTAAGAAATGAAAGGACATGGAATCTTCTTTTTTATTTATTTATTTATTTAAATTTACTGGGGGGAAGATTTTTGGGTTACCTCCATCATCCCAGTGTGAACAGCTGAAACCATTAGAGGCTGGAAAGGTAGAAACAGCGCAGAAGCGGCCATCAACACTTTGGGGTTTTCCTCTCTGAGAGCTCTTGAGAGACACTGCAGAAGCAATACATATATATATATATATATATATATATATATATTCAAATGTTGAATGTATGTCTAGGTGAGCAAATAAATAACCTAACAGAAAAAAATAAGATAGTGTTACTAATGATTGTCACATGGAAACTACAATAATATAATGCATAATGATTCGGATTTCATTACCTGGTACATACAGGCATACATCAGAAACCGGGCAATAGTGTTATTTACATACGATTAACAAAACATTATGTTGGATTCATCATAGAAATTGTGTTTGCCTATGGTCATATTAGATTCCAAGAAGATGACTGACACCGTTATGAACATGGCCTTCCTTGTTGGTTCTCAACAATATAAAATTTCACAACATTTGTAAAAGACATTAAATCTTAAAACTTGGTTCTTGTTCTTGGATGAACCTAACAGAAACTAAAGCTTGGCGGCATAAGGACAAAACTTTTCGCTCGAAAATCTACAATTTAGGTCGAGAGAAGTGCTTAAGAGTGCCGATGGATTGGAATCTCATTGAAAAGGAAATGTGAAACATCTTAACAAAAAGCATCACTTGTAAACAAAATTATTTAAAAAGTTCGGACATGGTGACATATTTAGATAAGATCCAAAATACCTCGAGTATAATTAACACAGAAGAGCCTATCAAAGAGATTTAGATAAACGAGAAGCAAAGTAGTTCACATTGATCAAAGCGCGGTTCTATGAGAGTTTGAGCAAAAGATTCGTTTAACAACCATAATAGAGAGTAACTATATATTAGTAAAAGGAACTGTGTTTTGTGAAACTAAATAGCATAAATGGGGAATCTTAAATTATTGTCCCTTTCTGACACCAGAATATGTGAACTACATGCTGAAGAATAAGAAATCTGATAGAGGAATAAAAGCCCACTTGAGAAAATATAACTGGTATAGACAAAAGAAGAAATGTGCGGAGACAGAAATAATAGAATCCAGGATGCTACGTACAACACTACTAAGAGTTGCATGCAACAACAACAAGCCTTAATCCCAACTTAATTGGGGTCGGCTCTATGGATTTCACTTTTTCACGCAGCTCTGTTCGAAATTAAACTTTCCTGAAGGCCTAGATCTAGAATGTATTTCCTAACTACTTCGGTTCACGTAATTCTTGGTCTACCCCTCCCTCTCCTAGTATTAGGTATAAGAATGTCCTCCCAAGCACGAACTGATGCTTCTAGCGGTCTACGTTGGACATGCCCATACCACCTCAAGCGGCCTTCGCGCACCTTATCTTCTATTGGCGCTACACCTACTTTACTACGAATAACTTCATTCTTTATGCGATCCATTCTCGTATGGCCACTCATCCATCTTAACACACGCATTTCTGCCACACTCATCTTAGATATATGTTGTCTCTTAATGACCCAACATTCACTACCATATAACATAGCTGGGCGGATTACAGTTCTATAGAACTTTCCTTTCAGCTTAATAGGCATCTTGCTATCACATAAAACTCCTATAGCATTCTTCCACTTAACCCACCCTGCCTTAATCCTATGTTGAATATCCTCTTCTATATCTCCTTCGTACTGCACTATAGACCCAAGGTACCTAAACTTCCTAGAAACCTCAATCTCCACACCATCTAAAGAAATTCCAGCACTCTGATTACTTGAGTTACTAAACCTACAATGCATGTATTCAGTTTTCGTCCTACTTAACTTAAATCCCTTCGTCTCGAGAGTCTATCTCCACAGTTCTAACTTACGGTTAACTCATTCCCTATGTTCATCAACTAAAACTATATCGTCCTCAAAAAGCATACACCAATGAACTCTATCTTGGATTTCTCTTGTCAGCTCATCCACCACGATGGTGAAAAGATAAGGACTAAGAGCATATCCTTGATGAAGGCCGATCCGAATGGAGAACTCTGTCGTGTAGCCTCCAGCAGTTCTCACACTCGTGACCACCCCATCATACATGTCCTTAATTACCTTGATATACCTCACATGCACTCCTCTCTTTTCTAGCACCCACCATAAAACTTCCCTCGGCACCCTATCATATGCCTTTTCTAAGAGTTGCATGATAAAAGAAAAAATCAATTTCATCCTAGATTTTGATTTAACAGCTTCTCTTCAATCCAAGTCCAAGTAAAGCAGAACATTTCATGAAACTACAATTGGTGCATCAAATTTTTGCATGTTGATGACCTTGAATAGGTTGGTAATACACTAATTTTGTCACTATATACTATTTCTAACTTACTACTGTTGCCGTGGCAATCATTGTATAATCGGCCCATCTGAAATATTTCCTCAACCTTCCCCTTGAAGAATGGTACAAGCTTGAGGCAACTCCAACTCCAATTAAGGAATTTGCATATAACTTACAGCTCAGATTTTTCCTGGACACCCGGAAACAATCAATAATCAAGACTAATAGATGAATGAAATAAAATTAATGTTCATCAAGCATCTTAAAATGAAGTATTACCTTGGGGCATGAATTCCAAGCACTATAAAAGGAAGTGAAGTGAGCACATTAGCAACTGTTTCCAGAAGATTCTGATCACCTAGCAGAAGGAACAGCGTGCAAGAAATGGTACTATCAATGCTGTTTTGCAAAACATGAAAGAAAGCAAATGGAAAAGACATATATATATATATAATATATATATATATATATATATATATGTGTGTGTGTGTATATATCTTCATTGTGATTATACCGTGAGTGCAACCCTGGATGGGCCTCAAACATGGCGGCCTTTGCTGCCATACCCGTCTGGAGAACATGCAAACAATAGGTTATTGAACTCACTAGGGCTCAATTCTTTTGTAAAGAAAACAACCTTCAAGTTGATCGTAACAATATGTAAATATTACAAGCATGTTTTGTGATAGACAAGTTTTTTTTTTTTTTTTCTTCTTCCTAATTTTAGGTTTTTACTCACTGCATTAACAACATCTGACTGAATCCAAAAGCCGAATTTCCATAAGATGATTTAGGAAAGTTTCCATCTTGATCAGTCGCTTCCGATACAAAGGGTGAATGAGGCACCACATGCACCCCATGCACACCTTCTAGGGCCCTACTGGGGTTCAGTGTACTCTGGGGACTCATAAAAATTGTCTGGATATATAGGTTCAGAAAATTGGACTGCCAGCAAGTTTTTGCTGGCAGCGGAAGAAGTGTATCCACAGCAACCCAATTTATTGTTTAAATCTGTGCTCAAGTACAAAACAACGATGGATTAAGAGCAGATCAAACCTAACTTAACAAGAAACGTTCAAATTGAACTCAACAGTGGATAAGCCAAAACATATACGATGTCAAATATTTAACAAGCATAAAAATTTGAGAGTTTTACTTCCATTTGAGGTTCAAAAACAAGGTATTGTATGTAATTGCTCCGATATATAGCCATTTCAAGCATAACAATTAACAAGCAATTGGGAAAGCCACCATGATACCCCCTCTTTGAAATATTCAGAGTTACTTTCTTGTTTGTCCTGCCTCATGGTATGAATAAACAAGAACAAACACCATCATCCCACAGGGTCCCATACCTCAAGCTTGCCTAAGTTAATTATCTAAATATCTAATTGATAATAAGGTCTACTTAGAAATTGATAAGAGATTATTCAAGGTAGAGACATAGAACTTGATCAGAAATAAAGTGAAGCTCAACATTTGGATAACCCTTAAAGGCCATTTGTGGATTATTTTAGTGCATGTGTTTCATTTACCATTCCTTTGTTATTCATTAGAAATTAACAATAGATATTTGATGCTAGGCTGCGCTCATACTCATACAAGTCTACATTTGCAACTAAAAATATATCATGGATATAAAGGTCATGAGATTCATAAGAAAGTGTACTATGACGTGACCCCTAAAGAGATTGCTCTTTCTAACATTTAGTCACTTTAAAAAGTTTAATCCAGCAATAAAAAAACAATGAATTTGAATTGAAACGAATCTTTATTACTATAAGCCTACACACCTAATAGCTTATTTAAGGATTTGGCAAAAATTTATAACCAAACTAAACAAAACAAGGCAAAACAGAATCAGCTCAGACAATAAAGTCAGCATTACCAGATAAGGTCCAAAACCCATGTCTAAAAACCCAAACTTGGGATCAATCGTCTCATTCCCACAATCCAATATTCTCCAAATTTTCAACTTCCAATCACTATTTCCTAAATACCCAACAAATCAAAAACGAAATCTGGAACTGGGTTCGCGTCCCAAGCAAAAACCCAACATTCAAAAATCATCAAACTTCACAGAGAAGAAAACAGAACACAAATCGTTTAGAACAACACACACATATTATGCATGAGAGAGAGAGAGAGAGATAACCTGAGAAGATGAGCTGAGAAGGAAAGAAGAGAAGGTGAGTTGGGTCACAAATGTTATATGAAAATAAAAGGAAAAGGCAGTTGAATTCAGTTATATAAACAGATCATATACAAATGAATTTATTAACAGCGAATAGGAGGTGCATGCCAGTTTCAGAGAAAATAATAAGAGATGCGAACGAGTGAGGAATCTTCCTGATTGAGTGTTGGGCATATTCTGTTGGCTTATTGGAATGCGCCACAAATACACTCGGATTTGCTTCTCACGCCTGTCCAACCTCACTTTTATCTTCTAATAATAGTTGTCTTTTGTTTCAAAAGTTCTGTAGTTTAGGATCATAATTTTTAATTATGTTATAGTATTTTTGTTTTATAAAAAATTTAAATTTTAAAAATTATAATTATGAATTATAATTTTAAATTTATGAATCAAATATCATCTTAATCTTTTTTGATTTTGGCATCTCAGCTTTGTTCCACGTAAATATACTAACTCTTTTTACCATTTTATTTTCAGAATATCTATATTTTTATACTTTTTATTCAAAATCTATACCTTTAATTTTTGAGAGAAAGAGGAAAATATGTCAAGACTTAAGATGAATTAAAATTAATAGGCCAATAATTTACATAAGTTAATAAATAGGCAAAATTACTATTTTCGTCCATAACTTGTCTAGTTATGAACCATAACTTGACAAGTTAGTGTCCATAAATTGTCTGGTTATGAACCATAACTTGACAAATTTGTCCATAACTTATCTGGTTATGAACCATAACTTGACAAGTTATGGCCTATTAATTTCTATAACTAAAAATTGGCCTATATACTTTCTTAAGCTTTTCATATTGGCATATTTTCTACTATTTTCCTTAATTTTTTATCTCATCAAGTGTATATCTTAAAATTATATTTAATATACAAATATATCCATTATCTTAGTCAATAATTGATTTTGATCTTTAAAATGACCAAACTATTCTTAAGAAAAAGATAGAAAATAAAACTAAAACTTTTCAATATTACAAAAAATAAAAATTAAAAACACAAAAAAACCTATTTCAATAGTATTTTGGATCCTTTTAAGGTTGAAACCGTAAATTTAAATTTTTTTTTAGTTTTTTTATTTTTATTTAAAGGTAATTTAGGTATTTTATGTTTAAAATTAAGGATTGAATGTGAAAAGATATAAATTTGAGTATTAAATTTAATTTGAAAGTATACATTTGATGAGATAAAAAATTAAATGTATAATTTTTTCATAAACCTAAAACACATGGTATAAAAATGTAAATATCCTTTTATTTTCACCCTCTTGCCTCTCTACCTTAAAATAATTAATATATATATATATATATAGAGAGAGAGAGAGAGAGGAGGTTAATAAGTAGGACCTGAATGCTAATTGAAATAAAAATATAATTTGGTATATTATGACTCAGTTTGAGATTACTGTAAATATTGTAGTAAATAGTATATTTTTTAAAATAACAAATTTTAGAATATTCTAAGTAAATAATAGTAAAAATATTTTTTTATCACGTAAATTTACTTTTTATAATTAGATTTACGTGCTAAAAATATTTTTACCACGTAAAATTTTAATTTACTGCTATTTATTATAAATAATTTTAAAACATGTTATTTACTTCAATTATTTACGATAAATCTATTATTTATTTTATTATCGTAAAATTCTATATGTATTTGTATAAATAATATATATTAGAAAAAATAAGGAAAAAATAGAGAATTTATCCTTAGAGTGTATGAGTCTGGACATTTATTTTTTACTCTTGATAAATATCTTTTTGTTAGTGTAATTATTTGACTAAAAATGTTATAAATCAAAAGTAAAGGGTAAAAATCATGACATATTGTAATGACCGGGAAAAATTTAGGTATAATCCGGACAGTCCGGTATTTGACCGAAATCCTTTCCGGAATAGTAAGTAGTAGGATTTTGATGTAATCAAGGAAAATGTTATGTAAAAACTTTATGTACGGGGTAAAATTTCCCGAAATGTGTAAAGTTATAATACGAATATTTTTACCAAGAAAATTCGTAAATATCAGTTATGAATAGTGAAATATCGGTTAAAGGTTAGAAATTTTAGCGGGTATATTTCAGTTATGAAAAACTAAAATGTTTGGTTTGTGACCAAGTGACCAGCTAGAAAAAGAGTAGAAATATTAAATGTAAGGAAAATAACAAAAGTTCCTGAAACAGAATTTTCCCGAGCCAGTTAAAGTGGGAAACTGCTAAAAAAACCAATGCCGTGAGGGTAAGGTTTTGGGCAATTCTGGATCGATTGAAATGAAAATTTCAGAAAAAGAAATTGACTAATGAGATACCCAAGAGAATTGGGTTGAACATTAGAAGTTTGACCCATGGTACTCGACAGTCCAGAAAATTAGTATAGAACTTGTACTGATTGTGAAATTATTAGTACCGGAAAGAGACTCGTTTTGAGAAACAGAAAGTTAGGTCTCGACAAGAAAAATTTGAAGAGTATAGAAACTCATTTGCTAGCACATATCTTGGATATAGCAAAGAATAAAAATAGATTGAACAAAGTTTTAATATATATATATATATATATACAGGGATGTATGCCTCACATGCAGAATGCCACTTGCCATTATATAAGCTTAAGCTAACTCATGAAGGGTGACTCATGACATGAGTTTCCAATGTCATCTCACGTGGAAAAAAAAAACTAAAGCAAAGGCTATTGATACTTCACGTGAAGTATAGCAGAGGAAAAAAAAAGGGAAAAGACGTGAGAAAGTTACGAAGAAAGAAAAAAGGAGAGTTTCTAGAGAGAGACGGAGGAAGGAAAATCAAGCATTTTTATTGAGATTTCTTCCGTTAAGTTCGGTAGAAACATAACTTGAGGCGTTCTAGTGAAAAAATCTCAACTTCTAGAGGTAAGATTTCGGAGTTTTCGTGAGAATTCTATATTTTCTTGATTTGGATGTATAGTAACCCATCTCAGAAAAACTTTCGTTAAAGTGAAAATTGAAACTGAGGTTTTGTAGAGCATCGTAATAAGAGTTTAACGGTGTAAGTATTAAGACGATTGAATGAAGTTTTGGTGGATTTCTATTGAAAATCCGTGAGCCTAGATTAAGAAAGAACATATGTTTTGTTCAATTTTATGTTGGAATCTGTATTCAGGAATGTAAATCTTGACTCCAGGTACCGAAAATCGGAAGTAGAACGAGTTATTGAAAACTCAGGAAACGAGAAAAATAAGGCGAAACTCTGCCAAAATTTCCTAAAAATTAGTTAGTAAGCAATGAGTTAGTAATTGATTCTAGGGAATGAATAACAATTTTAAAGCTCGGAAATGAACAAATTAAGGTTCAGAAACCAAGATACACAAATATGTGTCATTTACCTCTTAAACTAGGATTCGGCCTAAAAGGAAAAAAAAGGTTTAGAAACGAGTTTGGAATTAGATTTTAAGAATCTAAGTATGAAGAATTGTGATTTAGAATAGGAAATTTATACCTATTTCCATGAAATAGGTTTTGGCACGAGAGCCGAGACAACGAGAAAGAACTTCCAGCAAGCGGGAATCCTAGCAAATTATAAGTAAGTATAGACATATATGTTTGTCTGGACTCGAGTAAGCTGTAGTTAGACTTAGAACTATGAACTTACTTATGTTTCCAAGTTTATGTGATTATACGTGTTTGGAGGGCTCAGTGCCCTAAATTGCAGAAGGGAGACATATGACTACCCTTATGCACAGTTAAAGTATGCAAGTAATATTATGCATTTTATGTTAGCATGTGCACGTAGAGAAACGTTGCATATCATTCAGTAAAGTTTTTAACACTTTGAAATGAAAACTCAAAGTTTAGTAATGTAAAGAGACTGACGGGTCGTCGGCCGCCCAAGGGAGGAAATCTCAAAGAGTAGAGATTCTGACTAGACCAGACAGTAAGCAGGGGCCCAGGCCTATAGTAACAAGACAGTAAGCAGGGGCCCAGGCCCATAGTAGTAAGAACAAAAAGACAGAAATCATGTTTCACACGAGCATATCTGCATCATAACTCTTAATGTAATTCTTTTCTAGTTTATGATGTGTGCATGTTTATACTTGCTGAGCGTTAGCTTATCAGTTTACTTGTGTGCAGGTAACAAAGGTAAGCAGCCAGCTATATAGTGATTTTGCTTGATGGACTGGCAAAGGCAAGGGTGGCGGAAATGTCATGAGTACACGGGAGTGGTCTCTACTATGCTCACTTAGAAATTAAATTTCGCTGCAGAGTAATGTAATATAGAACCAAGTTTATATGTTTCAGTTTTAAGGAAAAGATGTTACGGTCATTGTCTTAGTAAAGAACAATAGACTGTAATAAGTTAAGATAAGTTTCGAGGACTTGTTCCATATCCGATTTCTTAAAGTATTAGCAACGGTAAGTTGTTGTGTAACAAAAGAACATGCTAGGAACATATTAAGAACCCGAGGGTTAAAGAAAAAAAATTTACTCATACAGAAACGTAAATTAAAGAGGCGATAGTCTAATAACAAGTAATAGATTAGTCTATAACTCGGCCTAATAGTAGTAGTTTAAGGTTAGCGACCCGTCACTAGGGCGGGATGCGTCACACATATGCACGTTTAAGGGGTATTTGTCAAGATTACCCTAGAAATTGAGTCAAAATGGCCCTTGAATGAGATGGGATGGGCTGGTCCATTGCGAGTCTAGACAGGCTGGTCCATTGCAAGTCTAGACAGGCTGGCCCTGCTTGGTCTAAGCCCGGCTTGGCCCACAAACTTTCATAGGCCGAGGTACGCCAGTCCAACCAAACTCACTAATATTGATGGGTTAAATCATACTTTAAACAGAGTTGTATCGTGCTAGCTCAATATTGTATCAAAATGGGCTTAGGCCGGTCCATTGGCCTCAGCCCACAGCCCATAGTTGCATCTCCAGCCATAAAAGGGAAATTTTATTTACGCTCCGAAATTTTATTAAGGCACCCTAGTTCAGTTATTTTTATTATTGTAAATTCAGTGAAAGGACAATAATATACAACTATAAACAAAAACTGAAAACAACAAACCCTTTTTACCTAGAGATCACACATCGTATAAAGAATAGAATCCTGACATTTTTGCAATTCATACACCGGTTCTCATAGGTTGATGGCTTTCCTCTTTTCTAATATTTTTGCCTAACGTTTTTTCTTTTAATTATTGAAAACATTCCATTCACGAAAAA